GGCAATAATATGCCGGGGGCGAGCCAATGACAATGAGCCATGACGTTTTTGAGGCAGGGAAGTCGAGAGGTTCGGCGAGGTGGATGGTAAGTGAACGAGCGAATGTGTAGAATTATGTGACCGAAACCCATTTGACGTGGGGAGAGAAGTGGACAGGGACGAGGCAGAGGAGGGAACAGTGAGTGGTGGCTGCTCTCTATCTGCGCCTGCACCAAGCTCCTCTGTCCAAGTAGACGAGGGTGTTGAAACTGGGGGAACGCATGAGGTCTGCGGCGATGGAGACTGACTGAAAGAGCGTGCGGAGATCGAGGTCGCCGTGGCAAGAACTTGAGGCGATGGTGCACGTGATACATTTTCATCGGACTCGGTTGTCTTTGCAAGCGAAAGAGACGAAGACGACCTTGAAACAGGTGCAAGGAACGGGTCTTTATTCATCTTTGTGCCTAAGCTGACCAATGAAGAATCTGACGGCACTGGGCTCCCACTCGGCCTACAAATCCCGATGCATGATGCAGAAGCAGATGGGCTGGGTGCGGGAGATGCCCCAGGCGACCGACGAGGGGACGGGAGAGGAAAGAGTTGGTCTTCATCGTCTTCAGCATCATCTTCCTCCGGTATCCGAGGAGTAGAAGGCATAGCCAAGTTCGGTATGCGCGATGGCGATGACGAGCGCTGCATATTAACCATGACATTCTTTCCCTCCTCATTCAACCACATTGACGCCGTCACCACCGAGTCGCTCGACCGCCGACGCTTATCAACCTCATCCACGCTAATCGGGTGACCGCGACCAAGCCCAAAGGATGCAGCAGCGACGCTCCCTTCGACTGTGATGGTCCGCGGTCCCTCGTCTGTGCTGAGTGAGCGCCGTCTGCGTGCAGACCGAGAGAAGTGTTCAGTCCAAGTCTCTCCCTGCGACAAACACGCCTCCGTCACGGCTTCACACCCCGCGCAGCATGGTCGCAGCGGAATGGTGACGAGATCCGAACGAGAAGGCGACAAGGACACTGTGCGTCTTGGGCGCCGTGGACTCTGGGGAGACCCGGGGGCGGCCTGTGAGATGGCAGAAATACCAGATGGAGAACGATGAACCAGACAAGGGGAGAGCGGCTTAGGGTCCGAATTACGAGTACAAGTAGGAGATTGCGCTTTACTAGAGAAACTGTTCCGCATTTCGGCGTTTAGTTGTGAATTAATTCACTAACAACCAATAGACCTACCTGGGAATCGGAACTCGCAGGACGACATGACTGTCTTCTGGTACGAAGGCGTCTGTTTCTGGAGACGACGACGGCCCGCCCGAGTTCGACGGACGCCTCTTCCATAACGGCAGAGAATAAGACTTTGTCACTATCCTTGGTAGGCGGTGACGGTGAGGATGCTTAGGGATGAGAACGCATTGGTCGTCGAAGCGTACGCTCAGCTGACAATGCTCGTCGTTGGATTGTGAGCAAACGTCCAAGGGAGTATGCCTATTCGTCGACATGGTCATGGTGGTCAAAAAGAAGTTGTACGAAAAGATGTGGCCATTATGTATAATTTAATCCCATGAATAGTCCATCACGTTTATAAGGGTCAGACGACTTTTGTGCCTAGGCGAGTTATTTATTTTCTTAAAATGGATTATTGAACTTCTCTAGGCTGTTGCCACCGCTGGCAGCGGGTACAAGTTACTTGAACCGGTCCTGGACATCACAGGTTTGCCACAGGTTCATTAATATTGTTATCACGGCGGCGTTGGCAAGCCCTCGAATAGGCTTTGAACGCAGCAATTTATCGTGAGTTTGATGAGAAGTTTTGACTGTTTCTGTAAGAATTATTTTTTTAAAGTATCAAAAGGTTGCAATATTCCATAAATAACTTTGTAAACCTCGAGTCTGCTAGCTTGTCATGCGAGGAAATGCCACATGTAGACCCATCGAGGCCCGAAGCACAGAAATCATGCGAGACAAAACTACATCCAGAGTTTATCTTGATCAGTGCCTCGTGCACATGTAGCCTATCGATATCTTGTTATCAGAATAGCTCAGCACTCAGCTAAGTATATCCTAGGATAATCACCGCATTAATCAATGGAACTAGTTACAGACTAGTCCTCCCGCTCCCTCAAGGTAGCGCGTCCCTCCTGCTCAATCATATCCAATGTCCTATCAATATCCCTTTCCGTAGTCATCTCAGCGCCAATCGCCATCCTCACACAAAACACGCCATTCAAATCCGTCTGTGTAATCGCAATATCGCTTCGTGCTGCAAGCCGTGAGTAAAATGCCCGGTTCAGAGCGTTTAACTCGAGAGTCGTGAGGTGAGGAAGAGACTTGGGCGCAAGCCTGAAAACTGTCAGTGCCAGGAACGGTTTTGCGACGAAGCAGAATTGATTAGATTCCCGTATGCGCTCTGCAAACTTGGCGTTGAGTTTAGTGCACTGGTGAGGTAAGGCCAAATATCAGGTTTTACAATCGGAATCCACCATCAATACTTGACATACGTCAGTTATATACTTTTGGAACCCCTTAACCCCACGGGAACGGAGAACAAACCAAAATTTAAGCGATCGAAACCGTCTGCCAAGGCCAAGATGCCAGTTGCGGTAATCAATGACAGTGCCTAGACAAACCGACATTTATTTCGTTAATTGACCCAAGAGATAAAAACTAGCGACAGGTACACACCGGCATCCCCATGCTTTGACCGCAAAAACTCAGGTGTAACGTCTAGTGCATCGGTCAAGTGTGTCCGGTGTCGCACCCACAAACAGGAGGCATCGAAATTGATTAGACCCCACTGCAGAACGTCAATACTTCAGGCTCTAGGCTGATATCACGAGATAGGAACAAACCTTGTGGAAATTGGTACAGAACGAGTCTGCATAAGTATTGATGGCGGAAAGTTGGCATGCCTCACGATATTCGGGACACACAAGTGCAACGCCTGCCCATGCGGCATCGACGTGTAGCCACAGGAAAGGATATTTTTTTGCTGCATGTAGGGATGAGCTCTCATCAATACCAAGTACGTGGTCGGTATACGCACCAACGTCAGCAATCTCGCCGAGCCGGTCAACAGCACCGGAAGATGTTGTACCAATCGTAGCAACTACAAAAACGAACAAGGTGAATTCCACGATATAGAGGCCATGGTAATATATACCAAGGATGAAAGGGTGGAGCCCAGCGTCCACGTCCTCCTTCAGTGCCACCTCTAGTGTCTCTCCACGCAGTGCGAAGTCATCTGCTGCTGTCACTTCCAGTGCGCGCACTTTCAGACCTAGGACAAGCCCAGCTTTCTTGCCCAGTGAGTGTGTTTGTGTGGTGGTATAGAGCACGAGTTTCTCCATAGCCACGTGAGGGTGCTCGTGAATATATCGCGAACGTGCAGCGACAGTTGCAATCAATGCAGAGTCAGATGCTGATGTCTTATATGTGGCACAGGGATCAATAACATTTGATGAAGGGAGTGAGAGTGAAAACACACCTGAATGACGCCGCCACCGACCTCGGTGGTGTTATAGAACGACTCATCAAGCCCAAGTAATTGAGCGGTCCAGTCCATGACCACAGCCTCAAGCTCTGTACATGCAGGGCTTGCAGACCACTACAAAAGTCACAAAGACAACGGGTGGGTTACAGTAGAAAGACGTACATTGAATCCAGGGTTAGACGTGCTAGACGCGTATAGTTCTGCAAGAATACCCTCGAATGTACATGCTGTAGGGAAATAGGCAAAGAACGAAGGATGTTGCCAGTGTGTCAGACCTGTCAGTACGAATGAGATTTGCTGAATTTGTGCAAAATCAGAGCCAATTACCAGGAATGATGTACTTTTGATAGTCATCCGCGATGAGTTGAAAGTCTTCGCCCTCTGTAGGGGCAAACGCTGAAATGGGATGATAAGACAGAGAGCACAAGTCAGAATGAAAAGTAGAGACCTGGGAGTGCCTTTCTGAGATACCCTGGCTCTACTTGGGAGGAGACAGGCTTATCTCTTAACGAGATATAGTAGTCACAAATTCTGTCTATGGCTTGATAACCAGCTCTGCGGAATCTGTGGTGCGTCAGATATGAGTAAACACCATGGGATTAGGAATATAAGTGCAAAAGACATACTGCTCGATATCCATGGCAGGACGGCGTGAAGAAGACAGTGGTTAGTATGAGTCGTTCATGTTATCTTACGAGTCGCACGATCATTTGATGGAAAATTGCAGCCTAGTGTCCAAGTAGAACTCCCAGCGCGAACTGATAAGCTGTGAACTGAACATTTGGCTGCGCATGGGACCCTAACTTGAAAACCTCCAGCCGAGCGCTGAGGCCTCACATGCACACACTGACAGCTACATGGGAAGGGGTGGTGAGAGAGTTCAAGTTTCGCACCCTCTGCCGAGTCCGCAGTGTCACAGTGGCATCACAACAGCACTAATGTTCAACGACGGTAATCGCAGTTTGGGCCCATCGACAACCAAGGAATGTATTCGCAGGAATCCTCGGAAAAGAGTGCTGAATACCAGTTGCAACCACTGCTCTCTTCCTTCTTTACACCGAGTCTTGAGAGGGCAAGACGCGGCAATTATGAGTCGCCCTGCCCAAACTTCGCCCGCTGCTTCTGCCGCCAGTAAGTGTAACACAGTGCTTCTTAACCAGCCGCTGAAACCTGCACTTTTCAGAGAGTCTATGGTTTAATCGGACCATGCTACAAATCCTCAAGTTTATTCACAAGTAAGAACACCTCGATTCTACCGGACTTACGCGCTGATGAGCAACTCGCACTACGCAAACTAGACTATCTCCAGCTGATGCGGTAGCGGGGAAGCTTCGCGAGCCAGACCAGCTGCTTGAGAGTGCCGCGAGGGAAATCGATTGCAACTAGTATGTAGGATGATTGTTTGTCTATGAGCCAGCATAGGTCAACATTGGTTGTCGAGTGGTAAGTACTAACTGGGATCCAACTTCGAACTCGCACATAGCCTCTCGTTGGCCAGGATACCGGTCCCGGGCCGCACTACGAGCTGGCCAAATGAGGTTCACTCAGACTTCGGAATCTGCTCACCCGATTCCATTCCATACGCCTCACGTTAACACTTGCAAGTACTATGCAGCAGCATCGGGCTCTCCTTGTACCGGATGTACTACTGGTCATATTCGAGCACGTGAACCACGAGAAAATCAGTAGATGGTCTCGCAAATCCCTTGCAGCGCTTGCTAGCACATGCAAAGCCTTCCACGAGCCTGCAATGGATCTCCTTTGGGCTAACATGGATGGAATAGAACCACTGTTAGGCTGTGTTACGAGACTGCATCCAATGATATATGGCGGCGATAAAAAGGTGAGTATGGATGATTTGTACAATGTCCGATATGTTCAATTCTTCCATGATATAGCATATTGTCACGGTCATGCATGAATTCTCAAGGCAGCTTATCCGACGTCCTGAAGGGCAGCTCTTCTGTTCTCAATCTGTCGATCCCCTATCTGAGCACGAGACCCATCAGTTTTTGCGCCATGCCGCTCGTGTGCGCTCAATTTCCATAACCCACGACAGCCATTTTCATCTTATCTCAGCTCTTCCCATCGAGACATGCATCTTCCCGAGACTGCTGTCATTAGCACTGGTTCGAATTCTATATCCGACAAAATATTTGCATCTCTTCCTGTCCCCCACGCTGCGTTGTTGCGTCTTATCGGAAATTCAACCAGATTTGAAAGTTCTTGTGACCCGTTGTTTTGCCTTGGAGGATTTATCCATCATACCTTGTGGTTCATCGCGTGAAGTTTCCCCACTGTCTAACAGTACTATTTTCTGTTTGTGCAAGCGGCTTGTAAATTTGCGTTGTCCACCGCTCGACTGGGCAGCATGGAAGGACCTCTCTATGCTCCCTACCCTTCTTACAGTATGGATTCACGGCAAAGTCCTTCACCCCTTCGGCAGCGACGATTTTAATCTCGCACTTTCCCTCAAGGTCACGGATCTTTATTTCTCTATTGACAGCGCAGCATACATTATCGCAGTCATGCACAATTTTGAATTGCCCTCGCTGAAGCGGGTCAAGATCAATGTGGATACTTTGCACAGGGCAGATGGTGACCTGCTTTTACGTGCACTGTCACAGTGCAAAGCATATCAGACCCTCGAATACGTCAAACTCTTCGCCGGTGGCCTAGTGGTCCAGGAACTCTCAGGCAGCTTGTTTACACCGATCAGACAGTTGTTTTGTTTCAGGCAACTCCGAGTCCTGCGGCTCATTCTTCCCTATTGCTGCAGCTATCTTGACAACAACCTTCTTTTCGAAGCCATGTCAAGTTGGCCTCACATCCGCTCGTTGGAATTAACGGACCTCCATAGGGACCTCCATCCTCGTTCACCTGCCGTTACATTTCGCGGATTATTCACAGCACTTCGCCTATGTCCCCACTTGCAAAAACTGCGAATACCTATCGATACTGAACATTTCGATATTGATCCGACAACCGAATCATTTCAACACACTTCCCTACAATCATTGGATCTGGATTCCCCTGACGTAGTGGATGTTGAAGCTGTCGCTCGCACCATCTTCTCCATGCTGCCTGGCATCCACCAAGTTAACCAAATACTCGGTGGGAGACACTGCTGGAAGAACTGGCAAAAGGTCAACAAGCGTCTCGAAACTTTCAAATCTTCTTCCGTTCTTGGCCATCAAATCATAGGAACATCTTCGCAGTCCTGAGTGTGAGACACTAATATTCGAGAAGTTGTGTCTGTCTTCTCATATTTTAGTGTCGTGCTGAGGAACTTTGTACTCTTCGTAAGCACATTTTATCGCGCCATCTCGAACAATAGTACTACCTGTTGAACGTTACAGTTTTGTCAGCCTTCTCAACTTCGGTTTCATCATCACACTTTTCATGCCAATCATACTTGTATTGTATTACTAGAAGCGATATTGATCTCAAAGTTAGTTGCAAGGGAGCAATGAAAAAAAACGCTTCCATAAATACTCAACACTGCGGGGGAAAAGGCAACAGTCCAATCTGGATGACGGAATTAGACTGATACAGGGAGACAGCGATGAACAAAGCCACAACAGTCAGGCGATATGAGAAGAAAAAGAATCAGATTAAAGCAAGAGAGCAAGTACAAGTGCAATTAGGGGTACACCCAAAGGTATTGGGAACAATAAACCCAGGCATCGACTATGACTGCAGATAAGTACAAGTACAATAGGTATATCTTTAATGGGAGTGAAATGGGACCACATCTGTCTTCCTACCTCTGCGACCTCCAATCCCCTCCCATTGGTTCTTTAACAAAGCCATCGCCTCATACTCCATCAACGCTAACACACGTTCGACATCACTTTCTAAAGTCTGTTCAGCCCCGATCACCATCCTAATACAAAACACCCCATTCAAGTCTGTCTGGGTGATCGCAATATCATTCCGTGCCGCAAGCCGTGCATAAAAAGCACGATTCAAAGTATTTAGCTCGGGAGTCCTGAGTTGACAAAGGGACTTGGGTGCAAGCCTGAAGACTGTCATGGCAAGGGAAGGTTTGGTGACGACGGAGAATAACTCGGATTCATATATGCTCTGTGCAAACTTGGTGTTCAACTTGATACACTGGCGAGATAGGACAAAATATCAGTATGGGTTAGAGGACAATGATAATAAATGGGCTGACGTACGTCGCTGATGTACTTTTGGAAGCCTTTCACTCCCCGCGCACGAAGAACAAACCAGAATTTGAGCGATCGGAACCGTTTGCCAAGGCCTAACTGCCAGTTGCGGTAATCGATAGCGGTGCCTATACAAATTGGTCGTTTATGCACCGGCCAACAGTCATAACACTTAGAAACAGACCAGCATTCCCATGCTTTGACCGCAAAAATTCGGGTGTAATGTCCAGTGCGTCTGTCAAATGTTTCCGGTGCCGCACCCACAAACAAGAGCCATCAAATTGGATGAGACCCCACTGCAGAATGTTGATGAGCCCCAGACCGATGTCACAAAATAGGAGTAAACAAACCTTGTAGAAACTGGTGCAGAAAGAATCTACATAACTATTGATGGCGGGAAGTTGGTATGCCTCGCGATATTCTGGACACACGAATGCAACGCCTGCCCATGCGGCATCGACATGCAGCCAAAGGAAAGGGTAATGTTTTGCTACGCGTAAAATGGAAATTTAAGGAGCTTCAATAACATGATCAATATACGCACCAACATCAGCAATCTCGTCGAGCCGATCGACAGCACCGGAAGATGTCGTCCCTACAGTACCGACTGCAAAACGAGTTAAATGAATTTCGAGACAGCTATTCATGCGAAGAACATACTCAAGATGAAAGGGTGGAACCCAGCGTTCGTATCCTCCTCCAATGCTACCTTGAGTGTATCTCCACGCAATGCAAAGTCATCCTGAGCTGTGACTCCTAGTGCGCGCACTTTGAGACCTAAGATAAGCCCAGCTTTCTTCCCAAGCGAGTGGGTTTGGGTAGTGGTATAGAGCACGAGATTCTCCATCGCTACCTGAGGGTGCTCACGAATGTATCGTGAACGTGCAGCGACAGTGGCGACTAACACAGAATCAGATGCTGACGTCTAGTGCACGACGATCAGTATAAATTAGTGATATGAAGGGATGAGAAACAGACCTGAATGACGCCGCCACCGACCTCGGAGATGTTGTAGAACGACTCATCAAGCCCAAGTAATTGAGCCATCCAGTCCATGATCACAGCCTCAAGCTCTGTACATGCGGGACTCACAGACCACTACCAAAAGTTACAAAGATAGCGGGAGTGTTGCGGTAGAGATACGTACATTGAATCCAGGGTTAGACGTGCTAGACGCGTATAGTTCTGCAAGTATACCCTCGAATGTGCTTGATGTAGGGAAGTACGCAAAGAATGAGGGGTGTTGCCAGTGTGTCAGGCCTGTCAGTCCGAATGAGATAGGTCAATTTGTGCAATAATGAGAGTCAAGTACCAGGAATAATGTACTTTTGATAGTCGTCAGCGATAAGCTGGAAATCCTCGCCTTCAGTGGGGGCGGAGGCTGCGCTCGTGACGATAAGAAGCAAGCACGAGGCAAAATAAAACATACGCACACGGGAGCGCCTTTCTGAGGTACCCTGGCTCAACTTGGGATAAGACAGGTCTATCCCTCAAGGTGACATGGTAGTCACATATCCTATCGATGGCTTGATAACCAGCTCTACGGAATCTTGGGTATATCAGATATGACAAAGGTCAAAATCTGAGACTTGCAGGACGTACTGTTCAGCATTCATGACAGCGAGAAATTGTTACTTAAGTAGGAGTTGGCTTGAAGTGGAAGAGAGATACACAGGTAATTGTGTGCTGTTCGAGCCCCTGGTTGATGTGTCTTTATAGCCTTGCTGCGCTCCACAAAATCAATCACTTGAAATATGTACCTATAAGGGGATCATTGCCGGTGGTTTAGACAGCAGTTCACCGTGAGTGAACAAGGGTCACTTGACAAATTGAGTTAAAGGCCCCGGGCAGAGTGTGATGGGCTTCAAGATCAAAAGATCAAAAGAGAGTCTTGATAAAATTGTTCTAGGCTTCAAGATTAGAAACACCGGTCGATGCTGAATACTTGATTGATGCACATCCTTGTCACGAGGTAAGTCAATGTTCAAGCAGAAGGCTGGTCATACCATATAATTGAGGGAGTTGTGCAGACCTTGAGACCCCAATCCACCAGCGTGCTTCGAGTCACTAGCATCGATTATGATGATTTCATAGTGGGTTTGAAGTGCTTAAAGTTTTTAGCCATTGTCGTACTCGGGGGCGGCCTTGCGAGTATGCGCGTGAACTGCAACAACGAGAATGCAAGGTGATCTGCGCCGGCAGGAACTAGTGGTTTCAGGGGTCAAATTTTGGTTTAGAATCACTTTTCGGGTTATAGCCAGATCCTGTGACACGACATCAAAGTAAAACTTGGACAGTTCCGGCGCAACGCACTTCTCGACACCATGACGTAGTCATAAATCTGGATCATAGTGTCTTCAGGGTGTCCATGACATTGAAGGTTAGTCCAAGTTTGAGGATGTTCTCGTGCGCGAAATATCCGTCGCGCCTTTCCAAACTTCAACGGAACCTTTGTACTCGATGGAGATAACGCGAGATCACGCAGCCACATACCAGTGGTGTCGCCTTCATGCATGTGATCTTTAGATGCTCATTGGCACAAGAAGTGATTCCAGACCATGACATTTGGTGGCATCTTTGAATGGGAAGGAGCTTCGGGGAAATATCGGTTGCGCCACACGAAGAAAGGCCCAGACAGTTATCGGTGCCGACTCCGATTATGGATTTTGCGAGCCATAGTGTCGTTCTCATCCGGATAGTGCCTCAAGAATATCCGCAGTACAGCGTTGGATACGTGTGACCATGATTGGTATATGAGGTCATAGAGATTCCTGACGTCGATCTGGCGGGTGCCTGTCTGCAGGCATAAGAATAAGAAGCCTTACTTACCAGTCGCACAAACCCACATGCGAGACAGAAGACTTCTTTATTGGCCCTGTGGATTCCCTCGTGTGCGTCAACAATGACCCATGGGATACGGATCAATGCGACTCTAGGTTCACTATCGAGTGGATGATCTCATAGGATTAGTTGATCGCGATGGAGCAGGGTGATCAGCGAAAACTGTTCGCGGCTGAACGGTCAAAGTATTCAGTTTGCGTGGGGCCGTATCAGTAAATTAATATTTGACAATGGGTACTCAGCGTATGGATACCATTGATTGACAGGCAAACTACTTTTCTTATCTGGCTAAACTCGTGTGCCAGCAGCTCAGCGCAAGATATTTCCCGTAGCTACTACTTGTCGAAATTCCAGGAAAATAAGGGTTCAAAGGTGAAGTGTGCACTAGCACATAACCGCCGAGTCTCCTTTGATGCCTGGATGAAGACCAGGGTAATGATCAATGTTGATCGCCATCGCACGCGCAGGGTCGCCACCAGTGTACATTTATGAGTACGCGTAATGTAAAACTGGTGATGACCGGGCAGACAAATTGCCTTGAACATTCCATCAAGCGATATTTTCACTCCGACTTTAGGCAATTGCAATGACTCACGAAGGATAGTATATTTGATGGAATTTCAACACCACAATGTTCCTCAACTCACGCTAACACCATGGAGTAAAACATGGTGTCAACTTGAACACGTGGAGAGTCGCGTTAGTGTAAATAGTTGTGACGTGCCTGTGACGCGGCACTGTAACAAATTTTTATGTACAGATCATGTTCACACAACTTCATATCGCATTCCAAACACTTTGAATCATCGTTAATGATCAACATATGAGTGTCTGCCTGCGTACAGGCTCTAGAGTTAGACTCGTAACCAGTCTGACTATATGCGTCAATTTGAGATAGTGAGAATTTATTGACGTAGTGAAACCGTGGTAGTATACGCCAGGCTGGTCACGAGCCTACTCTATAGTGCTGTATTCACCTCTCACCAAATTTACAGTGCTTGTCCTCTGTGTTCATACTACTAGTATGCATCTTGCGTGTCAGTCCTATATCGTTGCATTACCTCTAATTCGTTCATCTATGTTGGTTTTCAGACGCAGTGTCAAGTGTTGTCTCACTGCGTCAAGCCTCGACCTCACCCTGCCAAGTCCGATCCACTCTATACCCTGCACCACCACGTCAAGCCCCAACCATGGCCCCATGTCAGAAGCCTCGTTTAGGCTGGGTCAAGCACCACTCACACCACGACAAGTTCTCCCAAATATCTTCGCAATCTCTGTACTAATATTAACATCCACACTCTATGCCGCGTCAAGGCCTACTACACTGCCGCGTCAAACCTCGTCACTGCCGCGTCACCCGCGCGTCACGCCACGTCAAACTTCATTAATCATTCATCGCGTCACAAGTAGCACATGCCGCGTCAGACCTCACCACCTCCATATGCCGCGTCAGACCTCACCATCTCCATATGCCGCGTCAGACCTCACCGCCTCAACTGTCACACTGTTCGTATAACTTAGGTATATTTTATTTTAGATCTGTCATCATAATTGATATTCTAACAGTGTTCTTTTTCATCCTGACAAAATTAGACGTCGTACACTGTAATTGTCCATAGGCAGAAATAAATTTATTTTACTACGCATCGAAGCTCGAAACGAAGAATGGAACGATAGCACGCTGTTGAACATGGCTTGGGCTGATCTCACGATAAGCTATCCTACTAATAGCTTCGTGGCTGACGTCGACCTTGAATGTCTGACCGCACTAGAAGCAAGGATGTTCGAGGATTCCGAAGAAGCAGGACCTGCAGGCAACCAGCAATGGGGTTTGGACGCTGGTCAACATCACAGGGGATGGAATGTGTATCTCGGAATTCCTGATAAATGGGTTTCTGCAAGAGATTATAGCGAGAGTGAACTTGAAGTGAGGAAGACTTTACCTGCTCCGTTCGATAGATATCTAACTTATGTGATTGACAGCGCGGCCCCTTATTCAGTGATAACTCTGATGCTACATCTTTGGAGTCTGCAGACGAGCTATCCGAAGCTGTAGTTCCTTCTCTGCCGGCTGAAGAATGTCCGCCCGTTAAACGTCGATGTGCTCCACAGGCTCGAAGGGGAGGAAAAGAAAATAGTCATTGGCTTATGTATACCTAGTTGTACATGGCCCTATGGCAAATAAAATAACAAAGGAATGGTCGTGAATTCATCCAACTTGATCTGGAAGTCGAATGTAGAATATAGAATTAATGGCGCGTCAGTGGCTTGCGTCAAGGCTAGCGCTCATCAGTGCCGCGTCACATGCGCATCACGGCCGCGTCAAAATAGCTACGCCCCGTGATTTTTCTGAAATCCTTGTGAACTTCAAGTAATGGGACTTGAACAGAGAATGTTCCTCATACGAAACGTTGGGATGGGACGTTAATTCTATAAGACGACAAAAATAACTTAAAGATCATTCAAGTGATATAATAGAACGCAACTGAGGCACAACCGCATTGGTTCCTTCTTCCCGCGATGGGCAACACACTCTCCCTCGTTCGCCTAGCGCTAACCGAATTCCTCGACAATCTTCACACCTTCCAAACCCTGCAAGCGCGCATCCAGCGCTCTCCAGGGCTCCCACTCCCAAACCCCAGCCGCTCATTCTGGTCCTACCCACCCTCCCCCATCGCCACTCACGTTTCACAACTCCCGACGCATGCTGACTTTATCGTTGTTGGCTCAGGTATTACTGGGACGTCGGTTGTGAGGAGGCTTTTGTATAGTGCAAGTGCTGAGGGGCATAATGTTAGAGTCGTCATGTTGGAAGCAAGAGATGTGTGTTCTGGGGCGACTGGGAGGTGAGTCTCGCATCGACTCTCGTAGACCAGTGGACCAACATTTTCGGTAGAAACGGTGGACATATATCACCGCCTCTATATCATGACTACACTTCGCTTAAGCGTGATCACGGACAAGCTGTAGCTCAAAAGATCATTAAATTGAGGTTGGCACATCTCGAGGAGCTACGGAGCGTCGCGGAACAAGAAGGTATCCTTACAGAATCCCAGTGGCGGGAAGTAGAATCAGTAGATGTGTTTTATAACTCGGATATGTTCGAGAAGGCGAAAAGAAAGGTCCAAACATATAAAGCAGACCTTGCCTTCGATGCTGAGCATCATGAGGTGTGCGAAGCAAAAGAAGCTATCGAGGTACGCTTTACAACTCGATCATGAAAGAGAAACCCATCCTTTGGGCCAGAAATACCGCCTGGCACCTGATACGCTCGGTTGCATATCATCCAGCGCAGGCGCGATCCATCCATACCAATTTGTGACTGGAATTCTCGCAAAACTTCTATCACGATATCCTGACCGGTAAATAACCTCTTGCCACCGAAACAAATCAAACTGACGCACTACACCACAGCTTCTCACTCTGCGCCAACACACCATGTACCTCTATCTCACCTCCAACATCCTCCAACCCCTACTATACCCTCTCCACCCCCCGCGGAACCATCACAACCCCGCATATCATCCACGCAACGAACGGCTGGGCATCAACCCTGCTCGAAAAGCTCCGGGGTAAAATCATCCCCTTCCGAGGTAACATGTCAGCCCAACGCCCTGGGCAATCCCTCCCCATTCCCGGTTCTAACCATACCTCCCACCACTCTTTCGTCTTCTATACCAGACCAATAGGCTACGACTACCTCACCCAACTCCCCACAGGCGAACACGAGCTCATGCTAGGGGGCGGATTCGCACAAGACGGCGACGAGGGATACGAGGCGATGGCAAATACGGACGATACGACGTATAGCACACGTACCACGGCACATCTATCTGGTGTGCTTCCTAGGTATTTTGGAGAGGATAATTGGGGAAGGGAGGGGGTGCCTTTGGAGAGGGGTGAGGGAATGTGGGCGGAGGGACGCGTCAAGGCGTTGTGGAGTGGTATTTTGGGCATTTCGGTGGATTTGATACCTTGGGTTGGCCGTTTGCCGCGTGTTGTGTCTGGAAGGAGTGAGCCACCGTTGAGTTCGGTTGTGAAAAGCGAGAAGGAGGAGGGGGTGCATGTAAGTGCTGCGCCGGGGGAATGGATTGCAGCTGGGTATTCGGGGGAGGGGATGGTACATGCATGGTTAAGTGGGAAGGCCCTGGCAGATATGGTGTTAGGACGAGAAGCGGAGGGCAGGCTTGGGGAATGGTTCCCAGATGTTATGAGAGTTACTGAGAAGAGGTGGAAGAAGGCAAAGGCGGAGAATTTACTGGATGCATTGGATGATTAGCGTATGCGTGTGATATTTTGCGGTCCTCCGTGTAAATAATCATAGCAATATTGACAAACTTGACTCGAGGAGATAATTTGAACGGGGGTAAGTACTTGGTAAGTACTCTTTCCCCTTCGTTCACCTGAGACCACCCATGATGTGATTACATCACATGTAGTACTGTAATATAGGTCAAATCGTCGGCCTTCTAACATTCACAAAGCTTTGGTGTGCAAATAAATAGGCATTGTCAGTGAATGTGAATGGGCATAGAGGAGTACGACTTGTAATGTTTTAATCCAAGTACTAGTACTCCTTGCAAAACTCTCAGCCTCATAAGTAAGTTATAGCCAAGCAGCGTAGCATAATGCAAGTCCGGGTAGATCAAACTCGATCTGTTTTCTATCTCATTAAACACCAGCCCAGTCAATTTCACTGGAGCAAAAGTCTCTCGTGACACAATCTCGCCACAACAGCTCCATCTATAGGAATGTTCGTGCCCTGGAACCCTGGAGGGTACGCCTGCTCCGGGGTGTCAGGACTCGTAAAGTACCTGTACACTTATCAGACGATACCGCTGCGACAAAAAAAGCGCACTCACTCGTCACCCCAGAATCCGTAATGTACCATGCCAAGAGCCCGGGTGGTGTACTCATAATCTTGTGCAAAACCTCCTGGGAAGAAAAATTCCATTACCGTAGCTCGAGGTGATGGCCTCATCCAAACTAGCGACGTAAGCCCGTTACCGTGGACACCCATCATGATCTATAAAACACCGTCGTCAATCATACTATACTAAAAGATAAAAATTAGCACAAACCGTGGTTCGCGCCGCGAGCTCGAACTGCTCTGCTCGAGAAAGCTTGTCCATCTCCACGACGTTCACTTCGTACCCATACAAGTCTCGAAGCTTATGAAGCTCTTCCACAAGACGCTCGTGATCCTCCTGTTTGAGCATACGACGCCCCCACTCTTGACGCGATATGTACGTGATGACAGGCGTCTGCGCCATATCACCCACTACATTGGGGTCCAGCCCGCAAACGCGGATAACGTTCGCGCGAATCGTACTCCACCAGTGCGCACTCCCAGGTAAAGCAGATGGCTCTGCTGCTGTTCGCCCGGTGCTCAAGAAATGATGGCCATGCATGGCAGCAGCTCGGTCAGTAAAGATCACACGATCCAACATCATTGGACGACCCATTGCTGCACGATCTTCCCAGTCATAAGAGTATTCTGTCGTCAAAGAGGGGAAGGCGCTGCGCAAGACCCATTGGTTCATCAGAGCATAATCCCTCCAATGGTCTGCATCCGCATGGACAAAGAATATACGGCGGAGAGCGGGAAGTATAGATTTCCCCATCTCATTTATGCTAGTGTCCAATGAGGAATATGTGCGCCAGAACCCAAAAAAGAGTTCAGCCGACCAGTGATAATAGTGGGTGATGCTGACATTTGAAATGAGCCTCAGTTGATTGCTAGCCCCTGATACTTACAATTGAGGAGGATCGTTTACGAGCCACTACCACATAATCCAAGGTTGAGCAGCCAACACAAGTTATGATGGTTCAGAATACTCACTGTTACCCCATCAATCGACTCAGCACTTGAACCGAACAACCTTTGAGCTTGACTAGTCGAAATAATTTGCATCTCGCGGTCCCCTGGTGTTCGACTATTTACAGCGTCTTCACCATTGAAAATATCCACGGCAGTGGAAGTGATTGTAAGACGGTCAGGAATACTTGATGGGAAATCCGTCACGACAAAAACAGTGCCGTTCAAGACAAAGAGGTTGTCAAAAATAGTCCATCCTATAGGAGGCTAATCAGCCCGGGACGACTCAAGCGACTTGAAGCAAGAACGCACCAGGGACATGAGACACTACACGGGTGTTTGGTACGTGTCCGCTTGACCATGTTATTCGTGTCCTCCAAGACTCCCCAAGCGCCGAAGTATGTGGCGACGCGCCTGACTTATCGACATCCCAGAATTTGATCCCGGTTGTATCATAGTCTATTCTTGAGAATAATAACAATGAGACGAATACGAAAATGAGCAGAACGGCCTCTCTTCGTGTTGGCGCCGACAGGCTATGCATGAGCAATGAGCGGGCGGGAACAAGTTATCCACGCACAAACCCCGATTGGCAAAAATACAAGTTATAGGTAAATCAAGCTTGGTTCTATTCCACTTCCACGGGAATAAGTAGGTGTGCCTATCACGGGGCTAATCAGAATGTCGCTCTCGTTGTCATCGACGACAGTCCTTGGGAAACGTAAGGCCACCAGATATGTTTTACACAGTTCTGCGAGTCCGCAACCCGAGCCATCAACTTCAACTTCGACTGAGGATCTCGCCATCTACGATACCGCAGAGCTTTGCTCAAAGAAAGCCCGCCATCCTTGCACGTATTCTGGATGCACAAAGTCTTACTCAAAAGCTTGTAGGCTAGCAGAGCACATCAGGTCCCATACAGGAGAGGTGACATGGTCTCGTGTGCCGTTTTACGCCCACTGCGTGCTAATCAGCGCAAACAGCGTCCCTACGTCTGTACGACTTGTCAAAAGTCTTATTTGCGCGAATCCCATCTCCAAGCACATGCAAAAAGCCATCTGCCTGAGTCTGAACGCCCTTATGTATGTATGACATCGGCCACATGCCAGAAACGGTTCTGGACCCTCCAGCACCTTCAGGTGCACGAGAATACGCACAGTGGGGCTAAATCGTATGCTGTGGGTGCTATCCCCACTATCCAAGCCATCCGCACTGATTTTCTCTTCTCAGTGCGCGGTAGAGGGCTGCAACGAGCTGTTTGCCAAACACCATCAGCTGCGATCTCATACCTGCCAAGTACATGCACCCCCGGGTACGAAACCTTACATATGCACACACCCAGGGTGCGCCAAATCGTTCGATACGAATCAAAAACTTAGAGGTCACATCAAGACTCATGACGGTTCGTGCACCTTCGCATCTGTGTGCATGATGACGATTTATCGTTCATTCAGATAAACGTTACACGTGTACACACCCGAAGTGCTTACCGTTATCTGACACTGACCCTACATATTACCCGACATGGACATCCCTCCAGGCCCATATACGCGAGACCCATCCTCCAACTTGCATGCATTCCTCATGCCATGGACGAACGTTCGCTTCCCAACATAATTTGCGTGCTCATCAGAAACTACACGAGCAACAAGAGTTAGAAGCCATTCTAGCAGACGTAGAACAATCGGAAGCAACAGATCTGCCTCGTAAACGCAGACGCGGTGGAGAAGTAGGCAGAGACTGGAAATGCGACAAATGCGGGAAAGAATTCAAATCTGTACGGTCGTCGACGGACATTTGTTTTCAATCCATTCTGACGTCATGCATAGATGAAAGCCCTCACGACGCACAACAACGTGATTCATCTCGGCCACAGAAATCATGTCTGCCCACATCAACATTGCTCCAGTGCCTTTGGCTACAAACACCTCCTCGAAAGGCACCTGGCTAAGATTCATAGTACAAGGAGTGATCAATCTGTCACAGATTTATCCGAGTCAGACGGCGCTACAACTACTGATACCGATACCGACTGTTCCAACAACGAACCGGCAGGCTCAAAAGCAGACTTGAGCATCGATCGAATCACGGGACATGCTTACTCCCTCCGCAGTCGTATGCCAACGTCAAAAACCATACGGTGTCCATATCCCAACATCGAGGACCTACTGCTATTGCCCCCAGAAACTCCGCTTTCTGGTTCTTCAGCACACTGTGATCACATCTTAACTCGCGCGTATGATCTTCGCCGACATTTGAAGGCCGAGCATGGACTAGCTGGAGATAAGAATAAGGTAGACTCTTGGGTAAGATCACATAGAGGTAACGCTCAGACATCTTGATATCTGTGCGTTACGGGAGAAGTCCTGTCTACAGTGTTGTTCAACTTTTCGATGTTTCCATTTCATACCCTTGATGTGGGAAGCTGATACATATTTTCTCTCGATCCTACGCAATAGAACTTGAAGGAGATGGAGGGTAGGAATGGTATATATGCACGCAAATATTGTGTTTGCGGTGCATCCATACCATCCCTATCCTAGCATCGATCATATTCATATATATTTCGTGTTACTTTCCCCACTAATAATATCGGATCATGGGCGGCTTGGGGAGACTCTTCAGGCTAGTTCAGGACGGGCTCAGATGTCCTCGTCCATCCCCTTCGGACTTGATATATGCAATTTGACTTCTTTGTATTTCACTGCATACACCAGCAAGAGACGGTTTTCGCTCATCTTTAGCCATGTCGGCATTGAATATTGAAGATGTCGCAACAATTCGTGTGGAGATGCACTGTAGTTATGACGTAGCCTCGTGCTTTGTGCTGACCGTGCTTCAGCAATGATTCAACGTCATTAGCGGCTTATGGTCTATTAGGATGCTTGAAGGAAAAGATATCATCGACGTATTTGGCCCATAGAACAATATTATGGATGGTTCTTACATCCTCTCTTACACGGCCTTTGCGGAGCGCCACTGCCATGGCGCAAGGAGGAAAACCATCACTGTCACTTGCTTTTGCAATTTCCAACGATCTATGTTATCCGCAGGCTGCTGCCTATCGATCGATCTCGAGGAAATAAAAAACACAGTACTAGACCCGACCTCGATGCGTGATGAAAGCTGATCATTGGATGGATGCAGCGACATCGTTGAAACAATTTTCCCCGTGTCCTTAATCTTCTGCTACATTCAGATATTACAGCCGCAATCCAAGGTAATCTCATTCCCACTGTGCAAGATCCGGAAGTGATACTCTCCGGCGTATTTTCGCGCATCCCTCGACTCATTTTCTTAATATCACCAAGGCCACGTACCTTTTCAGCAAATGAGGTCTTGTAGTTTAGAGTTGTGCTGGAGCCGTTGGCATGTACACCTTCGTTCCCGGAAGCAGGTTACTCATCAGTTCGAGTATGAGTTCAAGCCGGTCGCAGGAATCGTTGTGTCGTTCATTGATGATCTTCGTCATTGTAATTGCCACGATCAAAGTCTTCATTGGCTGCGAATAGGAAGCCGTAGATCTCTGAAGGAATCCTCCAAGAAGCTTTTCATCGATGTCTGTGTCGTCTAGCGAGATGGTGATAGTAACACCCTTGCCAGAAATTTTCGCTGGTCTCACCCACCAGTGAGTGCACATCTTCGTTCTGCATGGCTTCACGAATATGCCCTTCCGGACGACTTGTGACTAGAATGCGAGTTACGGGCAAATCAGGATCGCAAAGCGCTTGAGCGAGCATGAATATGAATCCGACCAGCTCGCTTTCCGATTGTTTTCATCAAGAGATTTGAATGCGGATTGATCGAGTTTCTGATGTGCGTTCATCGAGGACATCGAAAACGAACACCAAGGCTAGACTGCCACATTCGCGTAGTCTACCTTGAAGCCTCCTGAATGATCAGAAAAACGGGCCTTCCGTCTGATCACGAATAGACCTGTCGGGCTCTAGAAGGGCAGGGTCCTCGAGGACAGCTCTATCCACATGCCTCAGGCCCCTGACGGTGGGGAAATTGTTGGCTGGATGATAGGTAAGCATCGCAAAGAAATGACCGGTGGTGTACCGTTTTATGTGCTTGTGGGAGAAGAGGAATGTTCCCGCGAGTCACGTCTCTATATGCGTCTGCTCTGTCACTTTTAGACTTTTCATTTTTCTGCCATGGTAAATGTGATGGCACACTTTCCGACACCCGCTGTGCCGTGCAGCCAAAGGATCTGATTATTTTTCCTCCAGACATGTCTAATGACTGTTCATAAGGTTAGACAACGAGAGAGGGTTATACTGACATCCACTCTTAACACAAGAATGATGATAGTCACACTACAGATGGTGAGATGGAACGGAATAACTGAAGACGCTGATTCAAGGATTAAATACCAAGCTGCAATTTGAATGTTTTGAGGGCGAGTAATGACATCGTGAAACGATGTTTTGGCGTAGTGAGTCTGTTCAAGGGGAATAAGCTGGGCAACAAAATGATGCAACTCTGGCACTTGCCGTAAAGTGATTGAAATTGCAGGTTGTAAGAGCTACTTGTTTGAGATCGAATGGATGAATGGATGATCCAGTACCAGTAATATGGAAAACTTGCTAGATGGTAGTGTAGCGCAATTGAAGGACGACTTGGCACTCGTGTGAGAGAGCGCCGTCACTGCACACACCGGTTGGAGACGGCAACCTTGCCCAGCGCCAATATTAATAGTAACACACACAACTGGAAGGAATCGCTGCAAAACATGGCTCGTGCTGCACTTAACCAGCCTAAGGTTAATAGACACTCACAGTAGTTTGTTAGGAGTGTGCGCAACGCAGAACTTGCAATATCGACATCAAAGAGCAAGCAAGCACCGAAAGGCACCAAAGGCTTTGGTGATCAGACAGATTAAGTTTATCGAAAGATAATTGAGTCCGAGTTTGGTCCAGGGACAAAGTCTACGTAGAGATGAAGACGGGTGATGACTGAGGCGGTTCGGACTAAAGCAGCGGTTGTAACTTGTAAGATGCCGATTTGGCCCATCGGATCATGGATCGGTACCAATTGACTTGTGGAGATGAGAGTTACAGGCAAGTATTATATGTATGCGAGGAAAGTGTGAGTGGGGCTGAAGGGCAGGTACGTACGAGCAAGAGGGGTGTAGCGAAGAGGTTTGGCCACGTAGGTCGATTGACGACCTTTTATTGGCTGACTACGCTACTGATGAGCGTCAGTCCAAGCGCTCATTGACGACACAAGAATGATGACAACTTTGAACTAGAAAGGAAATAAAATAAAGGGCAATGAAGGCGAGATTCCTTTTGCATTAGCATCAACCATCATAACCATTCGAATGGATACTAGGCCTCTGTCCAGCAGACCTCCTCCTATATCTCAGGTCGATTAAACTGAAATTGGTGTGGAATATTCGAATATTGATAAATTTTAAAAGAGTCGGACTAGTCCGGATATAAAAAAAAGTGATACATTCTAATATTCATCATCAATATTATGGGTTCCGATCCGGAACTTGCGCGCTCACTGGTCTCTTCCCCACATTCACTGCCATTGTTCCCCGCTGAGACTTGACAAGGTCTTTGATAGTACCGGTAATTCACCCCATGAACTCCATCTCTGCGGGTCGTGTCCATCTTCCGAGGCGGAACGTTCTTGCCTGCCTCACGCAACGCTCTAGCGGCCGCGTGCTCGTGGTGCGCAGGAAGTATCACGACGAATCGTTCGGATTCCGAAAAGCACGCGACTTTACCATCCCAGACTGTGAGTGTACTGTCCGAGTAGCACTGCACCTACTCACGCGGATCCTTGATCAGATACCTCGGACCAGCTCACCAACCGTGCAGTCAATGCTCCACTGCTGAGGTATGCTGACTCTCTGCGCACGCATGGTCACAGAGCAGCGTCTATCGACCCTCTTGACATCCTCCGTCGTGAGCGGGTTGCCGCACTAGATCCTATCCGTTATGGCCTCGACGACCCTGCTCGTGCATTCGATATAGATGGTATCATCTGGACCGGTGAGGGCCAGCAGGAATGGACCCTTGAAAACATCACCTCCTTCCTCAACGCCGTCTACGTTGGCCGCATTGCGTATGAATATATGGACCTCCCGAGCAAGACGGAGAGGCTGTGGTTTGCGAAGCTATTGGAGTCGCAGAGCGCTTTGGAGCCCATAACTGTCATCAATGCGGATAGACAAAAGAACATACACGCCCTGCTTGCCAAGTCAGAGGTGTTGGACAATTTCTTACAAGTCAAGTTTCCCAATCTAAAGAGATATGGACTTGAGGGCGGGGAGTCCATGCTTCCCGCATTGGACGCCCTATTCGAGGCCGCGTCCAAAGGTCGGTTTCATTTCGTTCACGAGGATCATTGCTAACGCACACGTAGCTGGCATGACTCAGCTCATCGTTGCTATGCCCCATAGAGGGCGCCTTAATCTGCTTACAGGGCTCCTGGAATACAATCCTACTTCCCTCTTCCACAAAATAAAGGGCGGTTGTGAAGTGGACGAATCTTTGGGCGTTTCTGGGGACGTCCTCAGTCATCTTGGTGCACATCTTACCTTTGTTATCTGCGAAAGTTCTGACTATCACTGAAGTTGCATCCCCGACATTGAAGTACGGCGAAGCTGATGGCATAAAAGTCTCGTTACTGCCAAATCCCTCCCATTTGGAAGCAGTGAGCCCTGTTGCGCTTGGAAAAGCCAGAGCGAAACAATATGGGTTACTTAAAACCCTATCTAGCAACAAGGATAACCAAGACTGCATGCTTGGTGATAAGGTATTACCACAGGGCATCTCTTTTGCAGATCGATGTGCTTACATGTGCCGCTAGGTTATGTGCGTCCAGCTGCACGGCGATGCCAGCTTCACAGGACAGGGAGTAGTAATGGAAACCCTTGGTTTGAGTTCGTAGCTTCGATACAGATATCACGAGTTGTAAAAGTTTAACGTGATGTTTACAGGTGGTCTTCCACATTTCACAAGCGGCGGAAGTGTCCACATTGTCGTTAAGTATGTCTGTCAACTCTACTCAAGTACTGTTCTAATCTCTGCCTCACAGTAACAAGTCAATCGATACACATTCTCCCGAATTAATACTGACATACATTGTAGCATCGGATACACCACTCCCGCCTCCTCCGCCCGCTCTTCCTTCTACTGTAGCGATATAGCCAAGATGATCAATTGTCCAGTTCTGCATGTCAACGGAGACTCCCCCGAAGGTTCGTCTCTACCTCGATCATTGCTCACAACTTCCATCTGAGTACACACAGACGTGGTTCGCGCTGTCGACATCGCCTTCAAGTATCGTAACCACTTCCGCAAGGACATTGTAATCGATCTCATTGTTTATCGCCGCTGGGGACACAATGAACTTGATGAGCCAGCATTCACGCAGCCACTCATGTACGAAAAAATTCGTTCCAGGAGTTCTGTCCCAAAGTTGTATGAAGATAAGCTTATCGTACGCCGGGTTCCGTTTTACGTTTTTCAACGGGAAGGCTGACGTCTTTATGTTCCAGTCGGATGGCGTGATCTCGGTTGAAGCAGCACAAGCTGTCCGAGACAGTTACAAAGCTGCGTTGAATACCGCGCTAACGGACGTAACGTCATATGTTCCCCCTCCCGTGAGCTTTGAGGGAGCATGGAAAGGCATGGTTTGGCCAGCATCTCCCGCTGCACGTGAAGAAAAGACAGGCGTGAGTAGTGCTGTTCTAAGGGACGTTGGCAAAGCCAGCGTACATGTACCCGAGGAGTTTGTAAGTGCTATGCATTCCTTGTATGAACAAAAGTGACACGGGCCACGCCCGACGCAGGAAATCCATTCGCGGTTGAACAGGCATGTGAAAAGTCGTCTCAGGAGCATTGAGAGCGGCGAAGGGGTCGACTGGGCGAGTGCAGAGGCGATGGCGTTCGGCTCGCTGATGCTTGAGGGCTGTGATGTGCGCATCGCGGGGCAGGATGTAGGAAGGGGGACGTTCAGTCATCGGTGCCGTCGATGCCATGTTAGTGTTTAAGGGAGACTGACACACTTGTAGCCACGCGATGCTGGTGGACCAGAAGACAGAAGGCGTAATTGTTCCGCTGAACCACGCGCTTACGGAGGCGAAGGGCAAGCTGGAACTGGCGAATAGTATGTATCATTTTTTTTTGTTCGATATGTTGTCTTATTCTTTGGGAAGGCTCTCTCAGCGAAATGGCCGTACTTGGCGTAAGACGTTTCTCCCTTCCTTGTTTTAGTCTAACAGTATTGTAGTTTGAATACGGAGCATCTTGGGAACGACCTGACTTATTGCCCATTTGGGAGGCGCAGGTGCGTTGTTATTTCCTTGCGACTGCCAAAACTCAAGCTCAAGAATTTTATTATGGTTCAGTTTGGTGACTTCTTTAACGGGGCACAAATCATCATTGACACATTCATTGCGAGTTCAGAGAGTATGTCTGTGTGCTTGCGTGTTTTCCGCTGATGGCTTATTGTCCCCATTTAGCTAAATGGCTGAAGCAGAGCGGCATTGTCCTGCTCCTCCCTCATGGTCTAGATGGTGCTGGTCCTGAGCATTCCAGTTGCCGTATAGAGCGAATGTTGCAGGCAAATATGTTTCTCAGGTTTGAATGAATATCCATTGACAATTTTTTTTAGCTCACCAACGACTCCTACATTGCCCAAGAGAAGGTGAACGTAAACATGCACGTAGTGTTCCCGACCACACCTGCACAATACTTCCATCTTTTACGCCGCCAGATCAAGCGGAACTACAGGAAACCACTCATCGTGGCTGCTCCTAAAGGGCTACTTCGACTTCCTGTACGTGCCGTCCCAATGCCTTCCCCGCATTGGCTAACAATAAACACGTAGGCTGCGTCGTCGAAGCTGACTGACATGGGCCCAGGAACAGCGTTCCAGCCTGTCCTCCAAGACCCGCTAATCTTCGCCAACCCCAAAGCTGTCCAGCGCATCGTGCTGCTCAGCGGCAAGATCTACTACGACCTTGCCAAGGAACGTGAAACACGCAACCTCGAATCGAGCGTCGCCCTGATTCGCGTGGAAGAGCTCGCGCCGTTCCCTTTTGCTGCGCTCAGTGAAGCGCTTGCGCCTTATTCCGACGCTAATACTCAATTGGAGGTGCTATGGGTGCAGGAGGAGCCTAGGAATCAGGGCGCATGGGAGCATGTGCAGGAGCGTATTGAGGAGGTATTGAAGGGATTGGGTGTAGATGGTGGCGTGGCGTATAGGGGGAGGAAGGAAGACGCGGTGTCTGCGCCAGGCACTGGGAAGTTGTATAAGGTACAGCAGCTGGCTGTTATTGAGAGCGCTTTTCAGGGGTTGTGAATGACCGCGACCTGGCATTTCGGGTTGTAGTACACGACTCATTAATTCGTCAAATCACTGAGTTATTTGCGGATTCTTGGGGATCTTCAGTATTCTTATCGTCCGACCAATTCCCATCTAGCTTAGGTGTATTCATCATGCACAGACACTAATAAATTTGATGGTGCCACGATACGTACGTTAATGTTATTCCGTCTATTGTTACTTTAGGCTGTCCGACACATGAGTATGAGTGTTGGTCGCTGATCAGGATTTTATCACTTCCTCTAGTTAGTTCTGAAGACGGTATGGCTGAGTCCTCATGGTTCTGGACAAATAGATTTCTCGTGTGGCTTGCCGCGACGTTCGTTGGCTGACGGGCCTGTTGCTTCCAAATCCTCATCATAGGAAGAGTGAATGCAAGAAAAACTTCCATGATTATTCAGAGGGGTTGTAACAAACAGGGGGACCTAGAAGTATACTACTTTTGTCGTCGCTTTTCGTGATCCTTAACAAAGAGGTAGCTAGTCGCGCCCGTTATGTGTGAGCCTGCTGAGGGCCGGCAACACCAGGGCCAGCTTCGACAAGGCGTGTTCCTAACTGCAAGAGGGGAACTCCGAAGCGTGGCAGAACTTGACGAAGAAGACGGTCTTGCAAGTAGACTGTACATGTCAATTTGCGAGAGATGAGTTCATGAATTAGTACTGCAGACGACTCGGACGATACCACCTTCAGTCGACTGAACGACATACCTTGAACGTTGTAGTAAAGTGTCCATGAATCTTTTGAACGCTCATCAGTCGATAACACTGCAAGGTGGCGAAGGAGGACTGCTTTCGGGTCGCCGAGAGGTGGCTCGCCCTGTCCACTGGGAAGCAAATATGTGCGAAGAAGAGCGTTTGTCTGACCGTGGCCCTTCCCAGGAAGTCGCGGCTGGTTGACCAACCAAATAACTTTCTTGCTTCTGTTAAGACATCCGTTGGCGCAGAGTGCGTCTAGGGTGTGCTGGATTTCAGGGAGAAAGACTGAAAGAGTAGCATGCACTGCAGCATCCACGATCTGAAGGGGTTTTGGTGTCGGTGATGCAAACGAAGGGATATTCACATGATAGCTCCTTGTGTAAGATGGAAAACCAGAAAGGAACGACCAGTTCCCTGTGTACGTCGAGGGCGGCGCACTGAACGGTCCCCTTCCCAGTATAAGAATGTCTGCTTTCCTCGCTGAAGCTAGCCAATACGTTTCGCGAGACCTTACGCCACTGAAGGCGTGGATATACGGTACGGAATACTCTGGCGCCTCTGGGTCGGGCAAGGTAAGAAGAGTATCCGACAGAATGTAATTGACCAATGATGAACCAGTTTTCACAAGCTCTTCGATGGATGGCGAACGGATATAGCGTCTAAGCTCCTCTTTAAGGACGGGATTGTTGCGGGTGGCCCGTGAGCACATATGATGGTGGGTACAAAACTCCTTCCCGAGGCATGGAAAGCGTTTCCCTTCGAGTCTCCTCTGATGTTCAAGGAGGAGGTTGTGGAAGCGGTACACATGATCGCCGCCTACCATTGTCAGCTTCTTTCCTGCGAGAGAAGAGCACAGACACGAGATGGGCTTGATGCGAGAATCAGACACATTGTGGATCTGAGAGGTGGGTACAATAAATGGCATGACAGGCGATGCGGAAGTCGCGTCAATAGCACTATGCGACAAGGAGCATGAATCAAATTGAGAGAGGTCGGAGAAACATCGTAGGAGTTGTTGAGCAGCTACGTCTTGCTCGAGGAGGCGGGCCGAAAAACTCTCTTCTCCTTGCACGGATGAATTCATAGCAGGGTGTACATATCCGTCCACAACAGCATCAAGTATATGTAGTATCTCTGCTGCGACGGTCCAGGCGGCGCTCTTCGGTCTCACGACTGGTGCTGAAGTTAACCAGAACCATGTCACAGTGGCACATATGAATATGACCACTACCGTGCGATGTGAGAGTCTCCGCATCCTTCTGGATCGGATACCGTACCAAAACATGATATAGTCTTCGAAGTTCTAGAGTGGACCAGGTTCAGAGTCGTTCAGCCACAGTGGCAGTGCCACACGACCGCTGAGGCTGAACTGACCCGATTACATAAGTATCAAATTATGTACATGAAGAGAACATCCTTTCTGTGGCATTTGAAGATCACCACACTGGCTGCCCGCAACGTTGTTGTTGCTCCAGACGTTCAAGTCCGCATTATGTGTGCAGAACTTGGCGAATGGTTTCCCGGGGCCCCTTGTCACTCAGATATTCAATACTAGGGGAAATTCACATGATCCGTTTCCAATGTGAAGTAGTCGACGCCTAAGGAAGCAGTCAAGGCTCCAATTAGCGGGTCGAACAAAATGTGGCTAGTAGATTCCCTGGAGAATGATTTCGCGGCTTGCTTAAAGTGTACACAGTACTAGTACATTTTTGTGGTATCGATCACTAAAATAAGTGTTGTATATCAAGAAACGCTTCACTCAGTCGTGGACCCACGAATCAACCCTCAGATCCACCAACGCACCCAGCTTTCCAAGCTGCTTCACTACCTTTCTCGTATCAGATGCGCGGTATCCGGTCGCATCATTTACAATTTTCCTAATAGCCATCAAATCCCTTGCATCCTCCTTCACCCCAGCTCGTTGGAGCCCGTAACGGATGACCACCGCGGGCAGCGACAGCCCACTCGCGTGCCGGAGATGCAGCCACTCGGAGAGCTGCGGGAGGTAGTAGAATGTTGTCATGGGTGACATTTCGATTGTGAGCTGCCGCAGGTACGGCCATAGTGGCGGCACTTTCTGGTCATACGATTCCACTATGAGGGAATCGGCGATCTCCCTAACATCCTGGTCAAGTACAACTTCTGTCACATGAGGGAGCGCGGTAAAGACAGAGCGTAAATTCTTCCCGGGTCCATAGACCGACTGGAGCATGTTCTTCATCGTCAACTTGCACACAGTCGGGAACTTCGGTGTCTCATCCTGCCGGAGGAAGAATGCTGGTGAGGAGAAGTCGATGAGACTGCCTTCTTCCCATGTCAGCGAATCACCGTGGACAGCGAGGTGATGTAGATTCGGGGCGGTGATGGTCCCGAGAATGTTACTGAGATAGGCTGGCTTCTCTGTGCCCATAATGATGCAGAGAGTTTGGAGAGCAGGAAGTATGATGGGATCCGCTTCATTGTCTGTTTTTGCGTGTTCCACAAAAAAGACCCGTCGATGCACCTCGAGAGAAACAAGATTTCGTGCACATGATAGGAAGTTGCGAAAGGCGTTGAAACTGTTTGGAGCCAGAGTGTGGCTAAATTGATGCAAGAACTTGAGACTAACATGACTCAAGGATGATGCATCAAACTGCCCAGGCAATATGTTTGAGTCGCATCCCTCCAATCTCAACATTTCCAGCGAGGGAGTGTACGTGGTCGATAGCAACTGGAAGGATTCCTTCAACGAAGTGATCCAACCACTACTGTGACAGATGATCTCGATATTTTTCAGTGCTGGTGCGTGAGGGAGACCTAGCTCTGACAGCACAAAGCCGAAGAGGCCCGAGTGATTGTCTTTCTCGTTGATAATCTTGAGGCTCCTCCATCTGTGGCTGCACTCCCGCAGGACTTGAAGGCACACCTTGGCTCCGTCAAAGACCAGAGTCCAAGCAGCTTGACCCCATGGGTCTGGAGGCCTTGCAACATATATGACGATGTCAACTAGCGCATTCGCGGATCTCGTCACACTCCTTTCGAGATGTTCCTTGGAAAGGACGCCGAACTTTGTCATCATGTGCATGCGTGTCCAGAATCGAGAGGTGCTGAGAACAAGGGACCGCCATCCACGACAAACACTCGCGAGCGCCACGCAATCGAGGTGCAGCTGCTCATCGGTGCCGTAGATGTCGTCTGCGACTGCCTGAAAGACGACAAGGAGGAGGTCATCTGGCAAAACTGAAATAGAATATATATATTTTGCTTGAGAGGAGGATTTGGACATTCTGCTGCGTGACAGCAACTCAGCTTGAGAAGGAATCAACAGGTGATGCGTGAGTAGTTAGTTCCATGATAATACGAGCTTTTGAGCTGGCAGACTTAGCAGAAGATCGGTAAATATAGTAGCGTCATCGGGAGATTCGATTGGTTCGCATGGGAACCCATACAGACCGTCATCAAGGGCTCGACAGCACTGTTGGCAAGAGAACCTTCAACCCACGGTCGGCTCAGATTTGTGTTCTGTGTTGGTGTATAAAACTTGAATTTCCCTGGTATATGATCAGATATGGTAGATTGTCTCGCCTAAATTGGTGACTGGAGATCTCCTGACAACGACTGCAAGGTCCGCGGTAGTGGCACTCGTGCCACAGGGCGTTTGCTGGTTGGTCGAAATGAAAGTGGATCTATTGCAAGCTTCTTCGAAGGGTTATTTGAGCTGCCATGAATGACAGTCTGAGTTACCCGCGAGTGCCAAAAGGTTAACCACGCTCTAGGCTAGCCAGTGGTAGTCTCGAGGGCAACATCCGGTGGTAGACACGTATGTTAGAAGCCTTATAGAATATGGTAAGATGCTCCTGGAGGCTGCAGACGTTTGCTAATAGTCGACAGGTGCCACCCTATGGCCTGTAGTCATTTGACAAATACGATGGATTGTGACTGTATTATCGAGCAGCGCAGTGACGGTGAAGAACTCACACTAAAATTGGTCTCCCTGTCGATTGTATCCACCACGCACGATCTGCGTGTACGTGACATACTATTGCAACCTTTTGGCGTGTAGACACGGTAGAGTAGAGTCATACGGTAGACTAGTACTGTCGGTAGTCATTGCAAGGACGCGTGACGGTGTTTGAAATTTCAACATTCATGCCACCCAAAACGCCGGAAGACCCAGAACAAAACCCATATGATCTACTTGAAATCTCACAGGAGGCCACAGAAGCCGAGATTAGGACAGCCTATCGAACCCGCTCACTAAAAGTTCATCCAGACAGAGTACATCTATTCATTCCAAGATCGAGAGTCTGAGACTAAATTGATCTTGTTGTTGCAGAACAGAAATGATCCTAATGCAGGTGCGTACCTAGCCATGTTGAAAATGTAGCTAACACATGAATGTAGCCCAGAAATTTCATGCATTGACGACCGCTTCCACCCTCCTCCTTGATCCACTTCGCCGTCTCGCGCTCGATGCACAACTCCGTCTGCAAGCTGCCAAGAAGCAGCGCTTCGCATCTTATGACAATAAGCGTAAGGCGATGGTCTCTGAGTTGGAGGAGCGGGAGAAAGAATTCAAAAAGGCGCGAATGGCTAAGGAGCAGGAGAGAACCACAAGGGAGAGCGAAAACATGAGGATTCGTGAGGAGGGGCGACGAATGCGGGAGCAGAGGGAGAAGGAGCTCGAACTGCAGGAATTGGAACGTCAATGTGCGAGGACGAAACCCGGGTCAAATGGAACCGTCGAAGAAGAACCCCTCGTTCCGCCACCTCCCACTGATTTGGATACAACAATCCGTATCAAATATGCTCTGTCATCATATCCTGCACTTTCTACAGCATCCGCGCTCACAGCCCACCTTCGACGGTATGGTAAGATTGATGAAGGGACGGCGGTGATGTCACAGAAAGCCAAGAAGTCGAAAAAGTCCAAGGGACTTGTAGACGGCGAGGTGATAGTGACCGCACTGGTGCCATTCAATCAGTTGGGCGCTGCATTTGCTGTGGTATCGAGCGCCGAATCGCTGAAAGAGCGGGGCATGGATGTGGCATGGGCAGGCGGATCTGAGCCTCCGATCCTAGGCTGGCTTCGCGAACGCGGAGAACTCGGAGGACCCGCGGCCAATCGTGCCGAGCCGTTCCCGACAAAGCCTACTCCGGAGGGAACGACATTCGGTTCGTTTCCCTCAAGTTTTGTAAGTCTGGCTCACTCGGATCTATTCGAATCACTGATTCTCCTCTTTGACAAGCCTGCTTTTGATGAGGTGGTACCGCCACCGCCACCTCCTGCTGCAAAGGCGGGGATAGACTATGAGTCGTTGACGCTCCTCCGTATGCGTGAAGCTGAGCGTGCACGCTTAGAGAAGGAGATACTGGAAGCAGAAGCTACTGAGGGCGGCTAGCTTTTCTTTGCAGTCGCTTTCTGACATCGAACGTTTTGTCGCGATCAGTTCGATTTGGCCTGCAAAATGGTACCGATACAGATCTAATGCTATTGAATGAGTTATAGGTGGGTATCGCCGTGAATTGCTGGTATTGAGGATTCATTATAATAGTGGGGTCGCTTCTCCCGCCATCCCGGTGCCAATGCTATCGTGTACACATCCGCCAGGATCCCGCCGCCAGTCATCGTGCTCATTCCCGCTGTCCTTGCCTTGGAGTGTCGAAGAAGGGCTGATCTGTAGTAGTAGAAAAACCCAGTTAGTACAGTGGCCTATAGAACTGATAGGCACACTCACCTGCGCCGTGGCCTTTCGTTTGTATTCCTAGTGTACTGCATTAGCGCGGGAGATTCTCTCTGATGCTGACACGTACCTCCTTAACACTCGTAGACCAGTAGAAATTTCAGCAGTCCCAGGTCCGGCCGATACTATTCCACTTCCACCTGTTACTTAGCTCTTTCGGATTTAATATTTGAAAGTTCTCAACGGTTCTGAAAAGACTGTTCAACTTGGGTGATCGGTCTCGCGTGAGTAGTAGTTGTACAACTTGCAAGTTGCCAACCATTTTGTTACAAGTTTTGCTGCACATTCAAGGCTATCATTACTGCTCCAGGGTAATACGGTATCCCATTAATCAAGTCGCGTTTCCAATGCTAATATCATGCGTGATTCAGCTTCATTCGTCTGTGATTGGTCTATGGGAGCCTGAGACTGCGCACTTTGTGCGTGTTAAGTTTATCTCTTTTGTTTTCAACCTCACTTTGCTTCTTGTAGGAACTACAGCAGAATTATCATCGCGTGGCCGATTAATCCAGGATCTCCGAATGCACGAGGAATTTCCACTCATCGTCCTCTATTTGGCTCAACGGTTGAACGGATGTTCACACGTAGGCCGCCTTTTGCAAATGCTGTAGTCAAGTGCAAGTAACGGCGTTGACACGCAGAATCGTCGCAGATGACAGGCTTCAAGTCGACCTCCATCCCAAAATTAGCTACCCACAAGATCAAGAGTTCTTTCCGAGGGTATCAAGTCTGTCCTCCTTTATAGATGGTGTGCACAACGTAGGTGCTCCATGTACTGATTCAATTTGAATTTGAATAGTAAAGCATTATAGACTTCGAATTCCTACTACCAGATTTATCTTGCAATGGTCGTTGAGCGCTCGTCCCTCACCTAGGCTCCTGAACCTCTTGTTGCAAACTTTGGTGTTGGAAATATACGTCCCCGACTCCCACGAAGTGGGAGAAGGGTTTTGTCAGACGCAAACATGCTCATTTTTCTGTCAATGGACGTGTCGTGGGAATTGATTACGTACATAACTGAGACATTACGATTCATTGTCTTTGTTCATTTATTTTCACCGGTGCGCCTTGAAGCCTTCTCTGTACTCTCGACCCAATATTGCCTATCGTCTTTTTTTACCTCCGGTGCCCTGTGGTGGCACTCGTACATTGTGATGTTAGCTTAGGCCTGACTGACTGTTATATCCATGAATGGGAGGACTTAGACGAGCTCATGAGGATTCGCATGGAAATTGTGAGAGTACAAACACATCGGGGTGAACGATATTTAAAAGAGGTTTATATGTTGTACAAAATGTGAAGACAATATTTAATATTTAAACTAACATAAAGATGGGTGCACGACTTCAAATTTTGGTGGTGTTTTGTGTAATCCAAAATATCAAATATTCACAACCATATTCCCACAGACAATATGTCAACAAACATAAGAAATATAATCAGATTTTTCATGTCTGCTTCAACTTAAAGTTCAATTTCCATGTAAAACTTTGGAGAAAATTTGAAGTTTTACAGATGACATGACATTAAAACTCGATTTAAATGTCAAGCTTTGGCAAAACTTCAAGTTTTCTCCAAAGTTTTATGTAAGAAGCAAACTTTAAATTGAAGCAGACATGGAAAATCTGATTATATTTATTATATTTGTTGACATATTGTCTGTGGGAATATGGTCATGAATATTTGATATTTTGGATGACACACAAAACACCACCAAAATTTGAAGTCGTGCACCCATCTTTATGTTAGTTTAAATATCAAATATTTTTTTCACATTTTGTACAACATATAAACCTCTTTTAAATATTGTTCACCCCGATGTGAAAAAAACGATCAAGGTATTATCGGAGTATCGGAGTCGGGGACTGGCGCTCGCCGCCGCTACAATTCATACCAGCAAGACATGACTATGTTGTTCGCACACAACGCAAAGTAGCGAACATTGCAAGACTTCTTGGCACTCACGTGAGTAACGTTCGATTGCTGCCTTGGTTTCATCTGATTGGTTCGGAATAGCACTGTCGCCCGTCTGAAACTAGAAAAAGTCTGGGACCTTGCTGAATCATGCGTCTTGGAGTATTCTGCCGCATAATGTTTTGCGACCTAATTAATGTGTTCATCCACATCATTTCATCCCCTTTTTTTCGTCGCTTAGTTATCAGTTGACAGTTTTGATTTTCGTCGTGGTTCAGGAATTTCAAGTTGGTCCGTTGTATTCGCATTAACTGCCACCACATTGAACTTGTCATTCAGCTATCCATGTTTTGTATTGCAGCACGCACCTTTGAATGAACTGTGCAGATGGAACCCTTCATTTGTGTGGCTCGGCGAGGGACGCCACATTGTTTGCTGCATTGCTCACTGTGTTGAACCAGCTGACGGATGCTAGCCAGGTAAGCATGCAGAATTTGTTAGATTATAGAAGTGTCTTACTTGAAGAGTGCCAGGTTCTCTACGCCATCCTCGCTGATCGTGGATACAAGTGACATGAGACGTGGTAGAACACCTGAATTCAAGAGCTTGTTGAGGTTGAATCATATCATGTCGATGCGTTCACGAAGAATTAGCTACACTAATACAGCATTAACGGTACAACAACTTGTCAACAACATACTTGAAGCGCAATGAAAGGCTGTCGGCTGTGTTTGGAAAGGATATGGCCATTTCTGAGCGGAGCGCAAGGATGCTCATCAATGTCGAGGTATTTCAAGACCATCTCGGCGATACTCTAAGTGTTGAGTGACTGTGGGCTACGCAAATGGTTGTACAACATAGGCACAAAGTGCCTAGTAAGTAGTTACATAGGAATTGAATGACACCCTAGTGCAGCGTTTGGAGTAAGAAACATTCTCGAATCACGTATCCACCACTCTGGCTCTGTACCCATGAGCCAAGTCAGTCGATCAACCTGTTTCTGAGCAGGGCGATGATGATAGTTGACTGGCTGGTCGCTGCAAATGTATAACACGAGAGTAGTACCGTCAATCATGCATGCATCTGGAACTATCTGCCTGCGAGATGGAATTGCATAAGCAATCGACAGCAAACTGATGTTGAAAATTTTTCTGAAGGCATAGGCGGTGTTTAATCTGATGTCGCATGTGGGTGTTGTTTGGGAAAACCTGTCGGGATGTAGCACGATAAGGAAGATAAGAGCTGTCCGATAGAGCCACTCCTCAGATATCCAGTAACCGTATAGCTGAGTGTTACGTTGCAGGCGTGGACGAATTATATTGATGCGGTTTCGTTTGGACCGTTTGGTAGGTCCAGAATTACATTGTTGGTCTTAGTTGGCTTCACCAAGCTGAGCAAGAGTAATTGAGAGGGATATCAACGAACAACACCTGGACGCACCTGCATGCTAGACATTGCTCTATCGAGGCTTTGGATTTGTTCAGACATGTTCTGAAATTAACAGGGGTAGGCCTGAGGCTTATTAAAGGGGCGTTCGGAGTCAGCTGTCTTGTCAGCCTGACGTCATGGAAGCTGTTTGCTTACGTCATATCAACTCTCAATTGACCAGGGACACCGGCAGCGGCACTAGAATGAGACATTCTTTTGAGCTGTGTCTTGCATGTACCATGGACTGCAATCCATCCACACATTCAAGGCATGTATATGAACGAGGGCAGACTTGTTATATGGTATCTGGTATAACTATGCATCAGCCTATGATGTGACTATGTTGAAGGAACCATACACTGATTGTCACCGACACAAGTCTGATTGTGCATTGTGCGCGAAGTTGCCATGACAAAGTATTATAAGAGCTACTATACGTTCGTTGAGTCAAATGCGCATAGTATACCACAAGAGAACTACTCACTGCAAGAGCAGGCATTCGTCTGACTTCATACAAATTAGTTGAAAAACTTGAAATTACTAGTTGAGTTGATCGATGTCTTGCTTTCGAACAAAATTTCACTGCCACTCGAACAATGAAGATCTTAGAATAGGGAAAATTATTGAATACATAGAATGTGACTGAAGTACTTACGAGTTTTGCAGTCTCATTGTACGCCTGAACATTGGCACCACGACTGCAAGTTCTCCCCTCGGGCTCATGAGCGCTGCACTGGCCAGCTGGGATGTGTCACAGTCTCAATAGATGGTGGTGTATGTTCTGTACAAAGCTACATCCAAGTGTGTACTCTTCTTTTCCTTCAGGCTTATCATGACTAGACTTGGCATTTCTCGACCACCACAAGAAATACGGTAGCCCACGGATGACGATGACCAACCACGGTGATCGGTCTTTTAGGAGGTTCACATGTCATATCCGTTTTCAATGCAAAGTAGTTGAGGCTTAAGTAAGCTGTCAAGGCGGGTCAAACAAAATGTGGTTAGTAGATTCCCTGGAGAATGATCTCGCGGCTCACCTAAAGTGTACATAGTACTAGTACATTTTTGTGGTATCGGTCACTAAAACAAGTGTTGTATATCAATAAACGCTTCACTCAGTCGTGGACCACCCACGAATCAACCCTCAGATCCACCAACGCACCCAGCTTTCCAAGCTGCTTCACTACCTCTCTCGTATCAGGTGCGCGGTATCCCGTCGCATCATTTACAATTTTCCTAATAGCCATCAAATCCCTTGCATCCTCCTTTACCCCAGCTCGTTGGAGCCCGTAACGGATGACCACCGCGGGCAGCGACAGCCCACTCGCGTGCCGGAGACGCAGCCACTCGGAGAGCTGCGGGAGGTAGTAGAATGTTGTCATGGATGACATTTCGATTGTGAGCTGCCGCAGGTACGGCCATAGTGGTGGCACTTTCTGGTCATACGATTCCATTACGAGGGAATCGGCGATCTCCCTAACATCCTGGTCAAATACAACTTCTGTCACATGAGGGAGCGCGGTAGAGATAGAGCGTAAATTCTTCCCGGGCCCATAGACCGACTGGAGCATGTTCTTCATCGTCAACCTGCACATAGTCGGGAACTTGGGCGCCTCGTCCTGTCGGAGGAAGAAAACTGGTGAGGAGAATTTGATAAGACTGCCTTTCTTTCATGTTAGCGAGTCATCGTGGACAGCGAGGTGATGTAGATTCGGGGCGGTAATGGTCCCGAGGATGTTACTGAGATAGGCTGGCTTCTCTGCGTCCATAATGATGCAGAGTTCGGAGAGCAGAAGTATGATGGGATCTGCTTCATTGTCTGTTTTTGCGTGTTCCACAAAAAAGACCCGTCGGTGCACCTCGAGAGAGCCTAACAAGATTTCAGATGGGAAGCTGCGAAAGGCGTCGAGACTGTTTGGAGCCAGAGTGTGGTTCTGAATTTGAGAAGCGAATCAGTTGTATCACGTGACTACTAAGCCTTGCGGAATCCGGATCAGACTAGTTTGCGATGGTCGAGTCAGTCGACTAGCTCTAAGCTGACAGTTATAACTTATCTAGCAACGAACCCTTCATGGGGGCTTATTACGACGAGATCGAAATTGAAGATATGGCATGGGATGAGGTAAAAAGTGTCTACCATTATCCCTGCCCCTGCGGTGACCGCTTCGAGATCTCTCGCAAGCAGCTTGCCAACTGCGAGGATATCGCGACATGTCCGAGCTGCAGTTTGATCATTAGAGTTGTCTATGATCCAGTACGTTATGTGGATCTTCTTTAGTTAGATGTACTAACATGAACAACAGCTTGATTTTGAAGACGAATCTCCAGATGACGAGGGGTCCGCATCGCAGGAAAGTGAGGAAGATGAGGAGGAAGATGACAATAGCGACGACGACCAGTTCGAGGATGCTCTTGAGAAGCTTACTCTGACAGAGCCATCAGCCGCGTTGGTTGCAGCAGCAGCATAAGAGATCAAATTTCTCGCTCATTCCGTCTCGATGTGTTGCTGCCATTGGCCCATCAGTGAACCGATGAACATATTAAATTGTCATAGTAGACTATATATTGATAACAAACACAACAATCGTCGACAATGTGGCGGGGGGGGGGGGGTTACGTGACATTATACAGGAACGGTGAATTTTTGAGATAACCAACCAAGTTGTCCTATGTCCAACAAATCATCTTCTGCTTAAATTGTCCCGCAAATGAAAGATGAAACTCGAGTCAAAGAAGTAAAATGCGAGTCCGTGGCTGTCAGGACAGGCCCAACAGTTGCTAAATACTACTGGTGCGAGGTCCATTCCTCATGCGAGAATCTGCAAAACGATATACCCGGCGCGAAAACCATAACTCTTCATACTACTTGTGAATTGCTGCTGTGAATATTCGGTTGCATAATGAGAGAATGCGAAACTCACATTTGAGAACCTATTTGCTTGGTAAAACACAGGACCCTTGACTTCTACGTGTCGCAAGCTTGCCTGAACTGACCAAGATGTTCATCATATGCTTCACACAAAGTCTTGCGGCTACTTCACATCATATCCGTCATCAAAGTATTTTGTCAATGATGGTATACCGGTACAGATTAGAACAGTGCATTCAACTTATGGTATCGGAAGCTTCAAATAATTTTGGTTTTGACGTTCCAATCTTCACAATCAAGGGGTTACGTGAAAATTCGTAAGCCGCTGGTCTACCCGCTGTATCGGGTTAGACATCGCTGAACTGCCATATTGAACAAAATACTGTGATGCCGCTCGAGTATCTGCTAGACAACACGAAAGTCAGATTTCCTTCATCAACAACACGATCCGCAAACTCTAACACAAGAGGTACATTTGGTGGGCGAGAGAACTGTGGGTAGCGTTCATCAGTAAACCGGTGAGTTCTTGCTGGGGATTACTATCCCTTCCACTGCAATCGGCACCCCACAGAAGTCGGCACTTTCACAAAACTCGTATTTCTAGCTACTTAAACACAAAATTCTTAACATCTGTATCATTCTCTCTCTAATACAACTCATTACGAGGTTGAACGACCACGATTAAAGCAGAATTGAGTGAGATAGTCGAAAGTGCCGAAGTCACGCAGAAATGTTGCCATGACGGAGTTTCAAATTGCACCCCCACTTTGGAAGTGCCGACTGGTGCAGCGCTGCGCGTCCGCATTTGCAAGTTTAAGCTAGCAGCGGTAGACGAGGAAAGCTGCGAGCTTCGTCAGACCCGACATATGAGCCACACATTCAGATTTCAATTCAGAGAATTGAAAATGGGTTATACTGCAGCAAAAGAACAGAATGTGAGTCGTGTTTCGTCATATTACAATGCACATGGTCTCCCTATATATCCACCTCGATTTTACAACTACGGCACTAATAACAGTCGCCCTCGTACTTAGGTATATCTACTATTCAATACTATACCTGCTCATTCGAACGAATACTAATTGACCTTGCCCACTTGCTTGACTGCCGAACTGACTTTAAAATTGGCCTACGTGCATATCATGACTCACAGTGACATTTGCGTGACTGCTGACTTCTGTGGGGTGCCGATTGCAGTGGAAGGGATAGTATGCTGATTATGGTGCTTTTACATCATCTGCAAAATGACTGAAATGAACGCTTAACTTACGTGCATTATGAACACTTACGAACACTTACGACTTCAGTAGCGAACTCATGCAATTGGTGGAGATCTGACAACTCACTTAGTCGTGTCAAAATCACGAAATTGAGTCTTAGATTTAGTCTTAAATTGTTCACTGAATCTTATCTTTGCAAGATAGTCCAATCAATCAATCTAACATTGCAATACACACCACAGGACGTCTAGACTCGAGAGAAACTACATAAAGTCTGTGTGTAGTGTGTGGTACCATTCTTTGTCTGAAAAATTGTTAAGGTAGAAGGTATCATAGCTTTCCAAACACGTCGAGGAGTCAACAGCACGATTAGCTCTGTCCCTGTAAACAGGAATGAGCTCGATTGCATGGGTAACATCGAGCAGAGGAATGATCATGCCAACCCGCACTTGTGTGCCATCAGGACCGGTCACAAAATGGCGCTTAACGTGGAACATCATGACTCCAACATCATCTTGAGGACGTGCAATGACTTTGAAGAGCTGTACATAGAGGAATATTTGATCAAGTTCAGCAGGCAATGGTGGGCCTTTCTTTGACAAGCCGAACACCATGCGAACTTGAGCTACAATGGCGTCTAGTGAAGAAATGCATGAATACAAAGATACTGACCGTAACTTCAAAACTCACCAAGATTTTCACCTTCTTCACCTTCACTGTGCATCTGCAGCAGGACAGCATCACAATTTCCATGAGGATAATTGGTAGATGGCGGATATGCTTGTACCTGCTGGCTCGGCATGATGAGACATGGACGCAACATTGAATGCAGCTGAATACGAAACTTGTTCCAGATGTTGAGCAGACAGTTCTGGAAATGAGTTGCGAGCGTAGGGTTGACACTTTCAATGAAGGAGTGAAGCGTCAGAGGAAAGTCAGGAAGCTGGTATAATCACACCAAAAAAGGCGCTGTCTTGTTGGTGTGGTCACTGGATACAGTGATATGAAAGGTGATCCTGCTGTCTTCAGACAGCAGGCCTTTGAGGAAATGGTTGCGAATGGGACATGGGCCTTGAAAACGAGACAGTTCTTCGGGAGCAACGCGCATGATCCAACCCAACATCGAGTCCATGTCAACAACTTTGTCGAATTCGTTGATGATGAGGTTGTTGAGGGACATGTCGTTTGAGCAGAGGAGGGCATAGAGGTCGAACTGGCGTGCAGTGTTACACACTCAAATAGATCTGTTAGGCAGAGCCCTAAGAGGTGCGTCGTCTGCTAATGTTCGTGACGTAACCGGAAGGGTCCGGTGTAGTGACTGAGACTGGCGACGTCAAGTCGGCAGATATCAGAGACGCGCGTTGTAGAAACAACAATACTGAGAGGAACAAAGAAATGCTCCTGACTGTATCTAAAAAGTTGTAGGTCGTGCGTTGCCTAGTCTGTGATACTTGAGATGGCAAGTGCATTCGACCCTAAAGGGGAAGCAGGTGCAGCGGAGATCTAGAGGTACGCGCTTCAGCGAAGCGTGAGAAAGTGCAGGTGTGCGCAAGGTACGAAGGCGCGGGAACGCGCGCGCGTATTAGCGCGAAGCGCGGGAAAGCGCGCGCGTGTAAGCGGAAATAAGAGAGACTAAACTTATGTGAAGATATAAGCAAGATAAAGGATGTGAGATGTGTTGTGCTAATGAATAGATTTCTACTGCGACTTTCTAAGTAGTAAGTACTAGGTAAAGTTGGGTGAAAAGTAAGGTTGTACTGCTGGCGCTTATATAGCACGCCTAAGCGCGCTCATGCGGAGCCGAAGCGCTACCGAGTAGGTATGTAAAAATATATATGAGTGAGAAACTATGATAAAAATAAAGGTGGAACTATGCTAATAAAGGAAATGGAAATATACGCACTAGGGAGCTTGGTGGACAGTGGATGGATGCATCTGGATGGCTGGCGCTATAGGGCGCGCAAGCGCGGGAATGCGCGCGCGCGTATACATCGTGAAGCGCGGGAATGGTGCGCGCATGGTGCGCGTTGCGCGGGAAAGCTGCGCGTCATATAGGAATCACTGTGGATGGTACACAGAGTGATGCTGCGAGTTGGTGCTGTATACTCCCTAGTGTAAAGCACCATATCACACTATGAGATGCACGAGTCTCTACAGCGTGTCACGTGACTTCTAAGACGGATGTCTTTAAAGTCACTGACGTTCTCAAAGTAAGGACTGTCTTGTCCGAACAATGAGAAGTCGATCGAGGTAGGCTTAGGCACGATGAGCACCTAAGAAAAGATACTAGAGACTGAAGCTGAGGGGGCTTCAGAGGGAAGTATGTTTGAGGGAAGATTGAGTAGATTCAAGTTAGGGAATCTAGTACAAGGTGACCAACTACTTATACTAAGTGGAAAGGGTTAAGGGCAAGGCTACCGTACAGTAGGTAAGGGCAGAGGGGAAACGGAAAGGGTATAGGTATGATGGCAGCATAGCCTGATTAGTGATGGGAGGTCGAATGCGGAAAGAGACCGAGAAATGTTGGAACGAACCAACGGTAAGAGATACAATGCGCAGCGCGCATGAGTCAGATAAGAGATAAGGGAAAGCCACATTGGTGGCACAAGTCAGAACAAGTCATAGCCTGAAGGCACGTGCGCACGTTGGTGCGATAGGGGGGAATGAGGGATGGGGACGGTCCTGAGGGTCCGGTCAATGGATAGTTGGTGAAGGAGTATGAGCCAGAGGAAGGCGAGGACGAGGATGAAAGGAAAAATGATAAGGGGGCAAGTGGCCGATGTTACTTGTAACACTGTTGTTCATCTAGACCCATGATGTAGGGCATCTTTTCTCCCTTCAAATGGAATCATGGTGTGTACAGATAGGCATTCTGAGATCTTACAAGAAGTTCTCAGTGGCATACGTGTCATCAAGTTCTTTTCTTGGGAAGTTCCATTCATGAGATGGCATATGTGAAAGTCTCTCTCATTGCCTCATACCCGCACCCTCTTCATCTTGAGAGTCGGATGGATGCTTTTGCTGTTTTCCTCCCAGTTCTTGCTTCTATTCTTGTTTTTGTCGCATATTCATTGACCCTGTTAAACATGATTCACTTGCCTTTGATGTTCTAACGTGTTGTTTATTACCATTTGAAGTGCAATCTCACATATTTTTTTCAGCCTTGTCCCTGAGCAACATTGCTCATATCCTCAGCATGCAATAGACTGCTGAATGTTCAAAGCAAAGTTGGCAAGAAGGTAATGTTTGTTCTTCACCTTGCATGACTACTAACTGATTCTTTTGCATAAGGTATCTCATTCTCTGGCTGCCAACAGCAGTGTATCAACATATGTTGTGCCATCTACTACAACACTGGCATTTGAATATTCGATGATCTGTTCTAGATGCACATATCGGAAAAGCAGTTTTTGCATGTCGATGTTTTTTCCTGCTGAAGCTCGTGATGTAAGTTTCGTTTATGGTCAAACTGTGTCAAACTGACCAGAAGGGGAAGGGATGGAAAAAGAAATCCAACTACATCGAAGCCACATCGCCAGGTCTTCGCAAACTCTCCACTCTGACCTTCGACTCCGCGCCGATACACGTGTACCATTCAAATTGACAAGGAGACCCTGAAGAATAAGGCACTCGTGTGAGATTATAGCGGATATACTGGAAACACCCGCCAAATACCGATGTGACAGGTTCGAACTCTTGTCACATTTGTAATATTGCTTGGATACGAACACTAGTTCATTTGAGCTTTTCATGCTCAAGTGCAGGATCATGGAGCCTTGCTGGCTTTCCATAACCAAAGTTGCCCAGAACAAACATGTAAGGAAGTGTACGATCCCTGCCTTCAATTGATGATATATTTATGCAGATCTCGTGGCGCAGGCTCGAAGCCACTACCCCAAGAATGTGACACTCGTGAGAGATATACGACCCGTGACACACAACTTCCTACTTATCTTCGCGATGATTGACAATGGTGCGTACTGCAAGACTCGTTATTGTTAGAGAGATGGGCTCTGGAGCGCTCACCTTGCTGAAGAATATTCTAATTTGATGGCACATTATGTTGTTCAACTTGATAATCCTACACCTCCAAATAACTCTGTGCTCTGTGTACCTTTCGACCGCCTCCCTGCGAAAGTTGAAGCCTAGGCGCGAGCAGATGGAAAGGCATAATCTCAACAATGAAGAACAAGCAGATACTCTTCAACAGCTTGCTCGGTGGCTTTTTACTTCAATTGCAATGTTTCCTAATTATTGACCAGATATCTTAGAATTACGCTGCACAATGCAGACCCCAACATTATTGTTGACTTTCTCGGTGTCTCCCTTGATGTCCTCAGCGGAGTAAAGGACCTCAAGGTGGAGTACTTGTCACGCCTCGAGTGGCTCAGGTGCTCGATATAAGATGTCAGGGCACCAAAATGCATTTTTCAACTAAGCATCTGTTTTGTGACCTTGCCAGCGACATTTGCCTCTGGCAAGACAGCTCACAAACCTTACTGGCAATGCATGGTGAGTTCCTTCGATCAGCGATTTGGTAATTAAGCAAGCTTCATCTCAGGAACAAGACACTGAATGGTGGTCGGGCTGAGCGGAACAAGTACATTCTTCTGCATGAGTTCCACCACCTGAAGTGCATCTATCCTGATAAGACATACCACAAGAAAGCGCTGGGCGGGGTCGGGAACAAAGGCAAATGGGACAACTTCAAGGGTGGTCTCATGTTTGAGCCGAAGCGTAGTCTTTGGGACAAGTGTATCGTCATACACATCAACTCACTGTATCTGAATATCATCCAGGAGTATAAAATTGACTTCACTACCCTCGAGCGCTTGCAGGATGTAAGTGACTAGACTCGTGTTCATGCTTTGATGCTGACATCTAAGTGCAGGACGACAATGTCAAGGTACCAGACCCACCGCTACCTGAGGTACCTCAGGGTGTCCTTCCACGTCTTATTGCAACACTGGTCAACTGACGGTGTCTGGTGAAGTCACTTATGAAGGATCGTTCTTTGTCGCACATAAAGCTACTGCAGGTTCGACAGTCGATGCTGTCCCATTGACTACTTTACTCATGCTTGATCTTTATCATAGTATGACTCATCAAACAACAAGCATTGAAACTGATGGTGAATAATATGTGCAGCTGTCTTGGTTTCGAGTACTCGCGATTCTAGACCAAGCCTCTTGCTACCCTAACTACTTTCAAGGGTCATGAGATCCTGATGCACACCAGGGAGCTTTCTGAGAGCTTACAACTAGACATAAGTACACCTCCGATACATGTTGAAAGATTTCTCTAACTCATCATAGGTTGCCTACAGCAATACTAATTTTTTGTTCGTCAACTTCAACGTGACAGCTTTCTGAGGCGCTCAAAATTTTTGCTGAGTTCAAGAAAGCTGTCAATGGTTGATACAAACTCCTCGAGATAGACCTTTATGGCCTCTTTGTGCCTCTCTTACTCTTGCAGAAAAAGAAATATGCAGCCTTGAAGTTGGAGGAGGGATCACGGACATCCACGGAAGTTAAAGGTCTCGATATGAAGCATCGAGAATACTGCCGCAAATCAACGGAGATTGTGGTAGACAACATTCACGAGTATCTTAATAGCATCGGTGAAAATGTTCGCGGTGGAAAGGTCATGTCATTTTGCAATGTCTCCAGCTCCTCAAGTGACTGGTGGTCAGCTTACTGCTGCACCAGGTCCTCAGGCCTCAGGATGTGCGCCCGACCGCTTATGCCAGCACTGTCATTCCCCCTCCAGGATTCACCGGGCTGCTGCTATCAATGTCAACTTGTTCCCAATCTTCTGCCCTCAGTCAAATGGCCCACTGTAGAAACAACGATACAGAGAGGAACAAAAGAGGCTCCTAGCTGTATCTATAAAAATGTTGTAGGTCAAGTGTTGCCTAGTCTGCGTTACTTGAGGAGACAAGTGTGTTCGACCCTAAAGGGGAAGTGAGTGCAGCAAAGATCTAGAGGTATGCGCTGAAGCGCAGCACGAGAAAGCGCAGGTGTGTGCAAGGCGTGGGAACACGCGCGCATATTAGCGCGAAGCGCAGGAAAGCGCGTGCGCGTATGCGGAAATGATAGAGACTAAGCTTAAGTGATGATATAATGCAAGATAAGAGATGTGAGTGCGAGATGTAAAGGAATAGAGTTCTACTGCGACTTTCTAGGTAGTAAGTACTAGGTAAAGTGAGAGGTGAAGTGGTAGGAAAAGTTGGAAAGTCAGTAGTACTATGTACTGCTGGCGCTTATATAGCGCGCCTAAGCGTGGTCATGCGGAGCCGAAGCGCTACCGAGTAGGTATGTAAAGATATATATGAGTGAGAAACCATGATAAAAATAAGGTGGAATAATATACAAATGAGAGAAACAGAAATATACGCACTAGAGAACTTGGAGGACAGTGGATGGATGCATCTGGATGCATCTGGATGGCTGGCACTATAGGGAGCTCAAGCGCAGGAACACGCGCGCGTGTATACATCATGAAGTGCGGGAATGGCGCGCGTTGCACGGGAAAGCTGCGCCTCATATAGAGATAGCTGCAGGTAGCGCAGAGTGGTGCTGCGAGTTTGTGCTGTATACTCCCTAGTGGAAATTGCCATATCACGCCATGAGAGGCATGATTCTCTACACCGCCTAGCGGTGACAATCTTCATTTGCTGCCCTCTGTACCTGCTCCCACTTCTAGATCATTACCTGGTCTGTTCCGAGGTGGTCCTCTACCACCTGTAATGCTGGACGAGAGTTGTCACATGCCTTCGCATACTGTCATATCCCATATACCCACGCCTCTCTTCCGGACTTTGGACCCTGAGATCCGGTCCAGTCCGATGCATAGATCCGCTTCTGATCCGATATCCGATAAGCTTCCTATTTCATTTCCTGTTCATTTAATATTAAGCACAACCTATTCGGTATTTCCTCTTCCCAGTGTTTTGGCTATACTTATTACTGGTATGATTACTGATCTGTTAACCTATGCTTCATTTCCGACTCAGATGTTTGATAACCTTTGCACATGCTTCATACATAGCCTTTGGACCTTTGCTTACTTATTGTTTCGTTATCCTCTTAGTATATAAACCCGTGTATATGTCCTGTAGTACCTCAGTTCAAATATCATCTTAGTTTGTCCTCTTTCTGTCCTCCAGACTTGAGTCTTCAACTCTTGTCAAACCTCCAAAGACTTCGGATCGATTCAGATAGTCTACGTTTCCGACTCTATCTTTGGATAGTCTATACTCTGTTCGTTTCTAGTCCGGATCTGTCCGGATTAGTCTTATACATGTTTCCAATATCCGGAAGTCATCTGGATATATCTACGAGACCTGTCCAGACCTTCGGATGCGTTATCGTTAGTACTTTGAAATAAAGGACAAGTACTTGGGAAAGGGGCACAGCATACGAGCTGAGGCCGAAGTCCTTCGGATCCAATCCTACGAGAGTACAACCTTAACAGTATATTCGAACTCACACCTTTCCAAGTACACTTACTCATATCATGGCTCCTACTAAAGTAAACCAAGCCGCTCTGCACGCTGTTGGACTTTCGTCCACCCGACGTGATCCGACATCCGTAGTTAACACCTTCACCAGTTTCTCTCAGCGCTGTGTATCACACGGTCCTGCCCAAAGTATTTCCGAAATCCTTAATTGACCGCATCCAGTAACTCCTACATGTACTCTGGCTGAAGGACCACCGGAAGATGAAGATACTCCTGGTGGAAACCCTCCGGATGACTTTGGAGGTGATCTGGATGATGATCCAGACGACGACGATGATAATGAAGATGACGGACTAAACCCACAAGACTGCGTCATGCTTTGGCTGTCTCAAGCCATTGACAACCTCACACGCAACAATCATCATACTACCTCGTCCAAAGATTCCAAAGTCAAGATCCGTGAACCCGATACTTTCGATGGTACTGAACCTCAGAAGCTTCGTGCATTCTTCGTCCAATGTGAGCTTCATTTCCAAAGCAAACCTAAGTCTTTCTGTACTGGACAGGCAAAAGTTAACTTCACCCAATCCTACCTTAAGGGTATGGCACTCGAGTGGTTCGAACCGGACCTCCTTTCTGATGATGACGATGATCGTCCGGATTGGATGGATGACTACTCTGTGTTCATGTTAGAACTACAAAGCAATTTCGGACCTCACGATCCGTCTGGTGACACGGAAATACAATTGGAACAACTCCACATGCGTGATGGACAATGCATTAATAAATATGTTGTTGAATTCCAACGGCTTGCTTCACAAGTTCGTGGCTGGGGTGACGGTGCCCTAAGATGCCAATTCTATAATGGACTTCCGGCTCGTATCAAAGATGAAATCAGTCGCATGGGTAAACCTTCCACCCTTCCCAAATACAAAGCCCTTGCCCAGACTATCGACGCTCGATACTGGGAACGGAAGGGAGATGTTGCCTGAGAAACTAAACCCACCATTTCCATTCCTCCTAAACAACCTATGTCCGACCGGATGAATTCCAATCCGTCCAGATCTGCGAGGTACAAATCTGACAAACCCGCTACTTCCGCATCATCCTCCGCTCCTAAAGCTCTGGACCTTACCTCCAAGTTAGGGAAGGACAGAAAGCTTACTTCCGAAGAACGTAAGAGGCGGATGGATAATAAACTCTGTCTATTCTGCAGCGGACCTGGCCATTCGGCTCAGGAATGCACCAAGTCTACTTCGCACGCTGCTAAAGGCCGTGCTGCAGTAGTAACTCCGGAAGACAAACCAGAGGTCTCGGATGAGACAAAAAAATAGTCCGCAACCCTCCTGACTCTGCACGGGATGAGGGTTGTGTTGACTCTACCCATGCAACGGAGCTACGTCTCAACGCTGTTTCTCTTTCCGATCCAAACTCTCTTTGTCCATACGTTTCTCTTCCTACTTTTCCTGATATTTCTGATTTTCCTTCTCTAATAGATTGTGGTTCCTCACATTGTTTTATAGACTCTGATTTCGTCCAAAAAAATAAAATCCCTACATATCTGATACCTCTGCTTTCTCTCCATTTGTTTGATGGTACTTGTAATAATATGATTTCTGAAGCTATAGATTTGCCCATCCATTTTCCGTCTGGTGTAGTTACCTCCGATACGTTTTATGTTACTCCGTTGGATTCTTCTTGTTTTATCGTTCTTGGATATAGCTGGCTCACCCTACACAATCCGTTGATTGACTGGGCTTCGGGCAGCATTGATTTCTGAACGACTTCTCATGGAATGCCTTCAACACCTCCGATGTCGCTTCTGTCTCCGGACCCGCATCCTCCGATGGAAGATTTACCTCCTCCAACTACATCCGGAACCTCTGCTGATAAAACCATCCCCAATATATCCTTGATAAATGCAGTTGCCTTTTGCCGGGCCTGTAAACTGGAAGGATTGGAACAGTTCAGCATCTACCTTCGTCCGACCGGTGTAGATCTCCGGTCCGCTTCCCTTTCATCCGATCCACCAGACCTATCCGCAATTCCTCCAGAATATCATGAATTTTCAGATGTGTTCGATAAAGGCAAAGCTAGCCAACTTCCTCCTCATCGCCCCTATGATCTCAAGATCGAGTTAGAGGAAGGAACTAGTCCGCCCCTTGGAACCATTTATTCTCTATCTGCAGTTGAGCTTGCACCCCTCCAGAAGTTTCTTGACAAAAATATTTGCATGGGCCAAAAATGAAGAAAGCCAAAACTGCCAAGGTGCGTTTGCTGCTCTTCCGGACTCCTCCATTCCTCATCCTCTCCTCACGGAGCTCCTGTCCTGTTCGTCAAGAAAAAGGATGGCTCCCTTCGCCTCTGTGTAGATTTCCGTGGACTTAACCAGATTACCAAGAAAGACCGATATCTGTTACTTCTTATTACCGATCTCCTAGACTCTCCGAGCCGTGCTAAAATTTATACCAAAATCGACCTCCGATCCGCTTATCATCTCGTCCAGATAGTGGACG